TTAAGTCGATGATTGACTTGTAATTCTTTATTAAGCTTGAATGAGTGCGTGAGTTCTGGCGAGAGTTAGGCAGGCGGCCCGCCGACACCCTAGGGTTCACCCTAAGGAAAAGTGGGGTCGTCACACAAAATCTGGCCACTTTCTGGCTGGATTTCAAGCAATAAGCTTCAAAATTTTTTTTGTTTCCCCAGTCAATCCGGCCTTGAATCCGGCCAATATTTGGCGGATTTGTTGAGAAAATTTCTGATTTCTGCAGCTTTCTTCCAGTTTTCTTATTTGATCAAAGTTCTTAACCACCTGATTTTCAATTATTTGGACTTGAAATACTTGAAATGCTTGAAACATGATATGCTGAGCTTAATTATGACTTGAACCTGTTTAAGCGAGTGTGCTCTTATGTACACTCAAATTACCTGACTTGACTAAACATTTGATATCACATTTACGCATGAGCCAGTAGCATGATTTTTATATGACCTATATATTGACTTGAAATGTTTGAAATACTTGAGAATGTGAATTGCTGGACAGTATTTGTAACTTAATTCTGGCTAGGCATGTGTCTCCTTATCGCACTCGGCCTCCCCTTCTTGAATGATCTTGTACTCGTTTGAACTTGATTCACCTGTACTTGTGTTTGTACTTGTGCTTGACTTGCAAGTGCCGAGCGGTCGCATGTACCATACTCCATTCGAGTGGGAGGTGCCTCTCATCCCCTCTCAATACTTTTATCCTGATTAAGTCGATTGGAGAGTTATCTCGTCGATACTAATGCTGAGCGGTCACATGTACCACACTCCATCCGAGTGGGAGGTGCCTCTCATCCCGTCTCAGTACCTCTATCCTGTTTTGTCGAGTAGAGTGTTATCTCCTCGACTAATTGGTATGCTCGAGTATTACCACCACTGTTTATTTCTGAATACGGAGCGTTAAGTGACAACTAACGTCTCCAATCTTTACTGTGTGAGCGTTGGATAACAGCCAACGACTCTAATCTTTATACTGGGTCATGATTCATTTGAATTTGACTTGTTTCTTAATGTCTGGGTATGCTATCTTGTCTCTTATTTTACCTGTTTGGTTACTTGAAATCTCACTGGGTTTTTAGCTCATTCCATGCCATTTGTTTTCCTTACAGGGTGAGAACAGGAGAGATTGAATTGAGGAAGGCCTCAATTTCTTCTAAGTTTGTTAGTGGCTCGTGTGAGCACTGCATAGGTGTCTAGCCGAATTGTTTGGTTTGATTTTTGGCAAGTTCGATTCTTTTGCTGTAGTATATATTGTGTGGACATTGAAGGTCCATGAATGTATCTATATTGATGGTTATAATTAATATCGTTTTATTTTGAGCTTCTATTTGTAAATTTTCATGAATTACAACTGAGTCCTGATGAGAGTTGGGCAGGCGGTCCGCCAAACCCTTGGATACGCTCTAGGGGAGGTGGGGCTATCATTAGACAAGAAACCAGTGGGGTAATAGTGAGATGGAATGAAAGTGCAAGGTTTAAAATATTTTTGTTCATGCATTTGACACTTGGCTTGAGTTGGACATTTGTCCAACTACTAAACCAAGCTAAAACCACCATATTTGACCCTTGACATGCAAAACAATTCTTGATCGTGGGAAAGAGAGAGAAAATATTTCTAGTTCCTTAATCTTCCAGCCAACAATCGAGAGAGTTAAACCATTTCCTCTTATCACTTCAAACCAAGAAAGAGAGTTGAGAATGAAGAAGAGATTGTAGCTTCTTGGTGTCCAAATCAGCTACACTGAGGGAGAAACATTAGAGCATTTGCCTTTGAGAAACCGAGGGAGAAGGAAAGAAAATAGTCTACAAATTCCAGTTTTTGTTGTGAGGAAACAAGAGGTAAAACCTGATAAATTTCCCTCATTTTCTCTCTACCTTAGTTCTATAATGTCTTAACTTGAACTACTATCAAGAAAAGACGAATTGAAACTGGGAAAAAAATGCTTGAAAGCTGGAAATATTTTTTGCTAAACACACTGCAAGTGATCTATCTGCAATGCTGTGGCTATTTCTCACAAAATTTGTTGCATTCCATTTGTGTGCAACACACACACTCTAGCTCTTTTATCTTGTCATGCATGCAGAATTTCACTTGAAGAAAAGAAGGATCAGTGTAAAAACTTGGGGGAAAACTCTGCTTAAAAACTATTTACCTGCTGGAAGTTTTCTGTGTTGGCCGAGAGGAAGAAAGCTTGAGTTTCATAGCTTTTCATTCAAAATTTTGGAAGAAATTTTACTAGGAATGCATGATATATATTTTGTCTCTTGTCTTATATAAGATATTTATCTTTGAAACTAGTGAAACGTTGATAAACTTGGCTGAAAATGTTGAAGGAATTTGCTGGAAATCTATTGAGATGGCCGAGAGAGAAAGGAAGAATTTTTCTAGTTTTCCGCTATGAATTTTGACTGCAAACTTTCATATTGTGATTCAATACACCTTATAGCACCTGTCGCGCCCCATTTTTGATAAATAAATAAGTAAATAAATGGTTTAAAAAATGTATTTTTTGTGATTGGAAAATGAATTGTGATTTTAAAAGAAAAAATGGGTCTAAATGGGGGGTTGAGAATGCGACGATTTGACCCAAAATTATAGTTAAAAAATGGTTTTTGAAATAAAAATTGGAGTCGTCACTTGGTAATGAGTTAAGGTGTACCAAGTCACCAAAAAAATGAATTTTTAAAGAAAAAATAGGAAAAAATAGTAAGAAACCCCTTTTAAACGACTTCTAGTCCACGTAAACGAAAGAAAAAGGTTCGGGAGTCACATTTGACAAAGGGGAAGGCAAGGATAAAATCCAAGGCACCTCTTTGACCTAGCCAAGGCTAGTTGCATGATTTAATCAAAGATTTTCTTGTTTTAACCAAAGAATTTATTACATTTGGATGCACTACATGAATGCAAACCCTAGACCTAGGGGTATTGGGAGAAATTTCTCTTCAAAGGTTGAGTGGTGCCAATCACATTAATTGTGAAGCCCAATAACGATCCTTTGAAGAAGTCACGAATAATGCGAATGGGATGCAAATGAATGGAATGCATGTATGCAATGTGAGGACATGAGTTTGAAAAAGTAATAAAAAATAATAAATATGTAAATGAAAATGTGCACGTGAGTGGGCAAGGTACGGTATGTGAAATGATAATATGAAGTGCATGTGTGCAAGTGATGATAAAAGTGTTCGTTTGCAAGTGAAGAAACATAAAGGTGCACGTGTGCAAAATGGGAGGAAAAATGAAAGTGTGATGAGGGTATAAAATGGTAGAGTTGATTTAAAAATCCATGAGCCTAGGGAATTCATGCATATTGGGTACGGGGAGACCTAAATCGTGACTCAATTTGCCCTTTTATAGAGGGAATACAAGCGTGCTAAGGCTTAGAAAAAGCCACACTCGTCTATATCCCATATTTAAGGGGACTCTCAAGCAAATGAACCCTATAGCTAGCATGAAATGCAAAAATCCTAAAATGGAGAGAAAAGGGTTTAGGGGGCATACAAAATGATAAAACTAAAAAGAATGCATGACATGTAATGAACTTGCAAACATGTACTAACGATGGGAAATCCCTAAGGGTCTAGCATTGGACTAGCCCATTCTATGAATTCCGACTAGCGTTGGACTAGTGGAAACGTACATTCATCCATCACATTCATTCAGGCTATGGAAAGCGAGTAGACATGCCAAACACTTATAAACACATAGCACAAAACATTTAGCATGCTCGACTAGATGCAAGGCCCTAACAAAGCAAATTAACACGTAGTAACTAAGCATGCAAGACACATAAGACAATTAAAGCCCTAACTATTACATTTGCTAGCTAGGCACATGACTTCGATAGGTCTTCATTGAATGCTCCTCCAAGCCCTATCTATTACATTAGGGAGACCCTACTACAATCTAAAAGGGGGAAAAGGAATAAAATAATTAAATCCCTAACTATTACAAGCCAAGAGGTGTACACATACCCCATAAAGAATAACTTAAATAAAAAGCAAAAGTAAATGACATAAATAAAAGAAATTAAAGAAAGGCTAGGAAAGCAAAGTAGACATGTATTTCTCACGTAGCACGTTGGTTCACATAGGAGAGACAAAAAAGATAAAAGAAATTATACCTCCCCCTCGATGGTAATCAAATGAAGTAAAAATGGCTTCAAAACAATAAAAATGTCAAGGTACCACTTTATTTAAGAAAAATTAAAAGAAATGTGCAAAACAAAACTCACTTGATCATAAAGTCCCTAAAGTCATGACTTAAGCGCAATTGAAACAAAGTATGGTAGTTAATTGAATCAAACAAGCAATGAAGTTGCGCAAATTAAAATTACCAAGGACTAAATTGATGAAATTATTTAATTGATTGGGTCCTAGTGGAACAAGGAGAGACTTGGGGGTTGGAATGCAATTTTTGAAAGATTTTCATGCATGCAATCTACGTAGAAGAAGAATTTCTGCAACTTGAAGCTTTCATGCAATTCTATCTTCTATTATAAAACATAGCAGCGGCACCCGCATTTCACACCAAAACAAAACACTTGATCTTGCATGAATGAAGCCTTTTTCATGTAACTCTAATGTTCAGCCATCATTTCAACTAGATAACATAAGATTTGGAGTCTAGCACAAGATCATACAGCCAGATGAATTTACTATATTCTGCAAAAATCCGGAAATTATCTAACAAAGACCAACAGCCATGAACTTCCACAAAACTTTACACGACTGCCTCAAACAAAGATCCCACCCCAAATTTTTATTAAAACTCATCATCTCCATGCATTATCATACGTACAAGGGGATAAAAAACAAGGCGAAGGTTTGCAGAATCTGATTCATTTAAAAGATCTCCATTTTTTCTTTATCTGTTTTGTATTCCTTTCCCTATGAACATTAAAGGGCTGAATAAATTTGGCATGTGGCTATTCTATATGAATGGGAACTATGATTGGTTGCACTTTGCAGGAAGACATGTTAGGCTATCCTACAATACATTTTCTTCTTTGAATAATATCTGCAATTGCTGATCGGATAAATATATGCTTAGAAGGACAGAGGGCATGCATACTTAGTTGATATTGGTGTAAACATGTTTTTGCTTGGTAATGGCTAGAAATTCGATGGCCTAAGTATACTAGTGTATTAATAAAAGCTGTTTAACTGTATATGGGTTGAATACGATGTTAAAGTTTTTGGCTTTGAAAAAATTCATGGATTTTTTCTATACGTTCCAGATTAGATTTGCAAAAGCTGTTCGGTTATGAAGTTCCTCTTTTAAAGCTGCAAAGAGTACTCTCTTTAGTGAAGAGGCTTTTGGAGTTGCAGAAGAAGGATGATGGAACTGTGTATATACCAGAAGGGCAAGATGAGAGTGCTGATGATATGGAATTTGGTGCAGATCTGGTTTTTCGAGCCCCCACACGGTTTCTAGTTGATGTTGTCTTGGAGGACAGTGATCTGTTTATTGAGGAGGCCACTGAAATTCCAAATCATGGTGCATGGTATGAGCTTGGTGACTCAGCAACTTACATTCCTTCTGCAAGTGGAGGAAACTTTGACTTAGAGTGGTTAAGGGATGCTTGTGATAAGATAGTTAGTGAAAGTATTTCGCAGCTACCTCGAGATGAACTGGCAATGGCAATTTGCCGAGTACTTGATTCAGAGAAACCAGGTGACGAGGTGAGTGGCTATGTGCTTCATTGTTGTCCAAGATCCTTTTTCTGGGATTTTGATTTCATAAAATAACACAAGTTCTTATATCATTTACCATTTTATTTTCAAGATAGCTGGAGACTTGCTGGATCTTGTTGGTGATAGTGCATTTGAAATTGTTCAAGATCTCATCATGGTATGTATAAGAATGTCACATAAAAGTTGGTGTGCTATTTTGCGCGATGATTTGGTTAGTTGTTCTGCTCATGATGAATTGTTCATGTGTCAATGGTCTAATCACCAGAAATAAACAGTTTGTATAGGATTTCATACTTTTTGCATGAAACTGATGATAACTTACATATTTGAAACCTCAGTTGGAACCAATCTGTTGAAAGAAAGCGCCCATTCATCCAACTCATAAGTCTACCTTTCTTTTTGGTGGGTTTCAAATGATTCACCAGTTGGTGGTTAGATTCATTTAAAATGGGTAAATAGGATAAAAATGATGAAGCCATTTTTTCTGTAACTTCGTAGGACACCTAGATGTAATTAAGTCACACAGGAATAAGCGGAATGAGTAGCAGTAGAGAGAGAATGAAAGTTCTGGTGGCTTCTCTGCACTTGTGAGTGCATATCATGGTTTGTGAAAGTTGACGGCATCTGTGCTTTTTACATCTCAATCATTTCTAAAGATAGAGGCGGCATTTTGTATGTTTCATTTCATTTTGACTTTTGATGCTTTCTCATGTCTAATATACTTTTAAGGGAAAATTTGGCCATTTGAGTTGTGCAATTTCGGAATAGAAGAAGCCTCAATGAACACTGGCAACACCTATAATGGCCCTAATATAGCAAAATTCCTTGTCGGGTAAGTTCTGAATGAGGAACGCTGCTCATTAGTAGTGAATATTTTGAAGCTTGGAGCAAATGGAGCTGAGTTTAGTTGCCCTCAGTTTTGGTGTATTTTGGTTACTTTTAATGGTTTTGGTGGCCAAAATGGATCTATGTGGAAAACAGAGTAAAACTTGCTTAGAGTATCTAGATGAGATGACCATAGTGTCACCTGCAGTGTGACGTGCAGCTGAGTTGGTGGGGGAACTTAGGGAAGGAGGAGAATAAAAGAAAAAGGAACAGGGGTGTAAAAAACAAGAAAAAAAAATAAAAAAGAATATTGATTTGGAAACTGATGCTTAAATAAGGACTTACCAGATTGAAATGGGAATTGTCTTAAATATATTCAGACTCTTTGCCATCATATTTACATTTCCGTTCTGAATCAAATAGCCTGCCTTGCATTTGCTGTTGAGGTTGGATATGCCACCAGGTTTGAGGTTGATTGTAAATTCCAAGTAGATCATGAGGCACTTCTGCATAATTTTAGCAAATTACTGCACAATTGACCAAAACGGGCTAGAATACGGGGCAGAAACCCATTTCACTGATTATCCACCAGATTCAATGCTTGTTTCTTTTGTGGTTAACCCCACAGCAATCTTTTCTTTACTAATTTATTCTGAAACTTTTCCTCCATGTTCAGCATAGGAAGGAACTTCTCGATGCTATTCATCATGGGCTATTTGTGCTGAAGTCTGACAAGAATGCTTCTAACGCGCAGTCTCGTATGCCTAGCTATGGCACTCAGGTTACCATATGCTCCTTTCTTGCTGTATTCTCAAGATTTGTAGTACTTACTAGAATGGTTTATTCAAGTTTTGCCATTTTTCCTCTTTCAGGTTACAGTTCAAACAGAGTCTGAACGTCAATTTGATAAACTTCGCCGGAAGGAAGAGAAGAAGCACAGACGTGGAACTGATCATGGAGTTGAAAATGATTTATCTGCTATGACTTTTAGTTCCTTAGTGCAAGCAAGTGGGAAAAAAGGGCTATTTGATGATATCATTGGGAGAGGTGATGCTCATGAGCTACCAGTTACTGCACTTCCTCAAGGCACCATTAAGAAGCATTACAAGGGTTATGAAGAAGTGTTCATTCCTCCAAAGCCAACTGCACCAATGAAACCTGGAGAAAAACTGGTAATTTCTGTTTCTTTGGCTTCTTTCTGATTTCTCTGGCAAGCTGGTGGCCAATTTGTGATAATGATCTAGGTCTATGTCAGCCAGAGGTCATATAGACATTATTGGTACTATTTTAATAAGATAGGCTTTTTTTATTTGATTTTCCTCCTCATTGCATGTTGGGCTTGAAATATAATGGCTATGAACCTAGGAGGAACTAATCATAACCAAAGTTTAATTTTGTTTATTTAACTACTTGTCACCAACTATCCTTTTAACTTCTAAAAGGTAAAGAATTTGTCATTCCATTTGTTTTAGCTGTTGGCTTCAACATTTATTGTCAAATTGGCATACGTGTCATACATAATGTTGCTTTAGGAAGATGAAAATGCTTGGATCCTTTATTTATTACTTATTACTCAAATAATTGGGTATTAGTCATGTCTATTCTTTTTTTAGCTTTTTCCCTCCACGACTGGCACTATCTCACAGCCCCCACTAACTGTGCTGCCATTTTTACCATCTTCCACCACTGCCCAAACCCCCCTCACAACCACTACTGACTCCCACCCTAATCAGCAGTGAAATCCTATCTATACATTGTACTGTTTGCCAGACACCATCAGCTCCTTAGCCACCCCCAGAGTATACTGTGCATCTCCAACTATTTTGTTGCACAAACGTTCAGTTAAGCCAAGGAAGCTTAAGTGATATCATCATGAATCTAGGCTAAACTATTGTGCCCAACCTGCAGAAGTGTAAAACTCTTCCATATATGGCAATTAAGGCCTAGACCCAACACTGATTATGTTATATCTGGAATGTTCTGTGGTAGTACTTCATTTTGTTTGTTTGAGACTATCTTGTGCTGTCATATTGGAATGATCTACCACAATAACAGAAGTAGAGAAAAAGTAAGGTTTGAGGCAGGGAACAGAATAAAGGGTGCTGTGGTGGTTGGTGGGAGGGGAGTACTGGGAAGGGATAAACAAGTTAAAGGACAAAGAATACAATAACTCTCTCTCTCTCTCTCTCTCTCTCTCTAAGAGAAGTTTTGTTCAGTGTATTACCTATCAAATGGAATCAAAGCTGTTTGGAGCCACTAGTTGAGTTACAACCTTTTTACCCCCGTAACTAGAGCAGAACACCTTGAAACCAGGAAAAAAAGGGGAAAAAAATGAAAGAAAAGATGTACACCAGTTGTTGACAGCCTTCGTCTAGGTATTGTACCGTTATATTTTGTTATCTCAATCTTTGATGCAGACAGTATTTGTTGCTTAATCAATACCACTGTAGTAGAACATTGATTATGGAGGCATAGGATGTGATTATTTGCTTTTGGCGTGCACTTCTGAGGTATCAAGGAGTTGTTTACAAAATTGGGATGAAAGGCAGAATTAGTGTGAAACTAATGAGGGAAGAGGAGGATCTGCTGATTTTGGACATTGGTAGGGGTCTCTGCAAGTTAGTAGTACTAAGGGTGTTGGAGGGGGACTCTTGAAGAAGAGGGGATTGATCGTGCTAGGCTTATGAGGTTTGGTGGCCGTGCAAGTGGGGAATGAGAGATTGCATTGATGGTATTGGGAGGAAGGGGCAAAGAAGGTGTTGGTGTTCACATTTAGCAAGGAGGAAGGGGTTGGTGGTGCTGGAGATTGCCATACTGGGGGAGAGGTGAATTTGATAGATTTAGTAGGCATTTGGTTTGATCTTCTCTTTTAGCTATATGCTAAACTGGTATTGTCTTTTAAGCCTAATTATGATATATTTCAGATGTCATGGATGCCAAGTCCCTTTGGAGTTTGAAGATTACAAAATATGAAAAAATGGTGAATAATATATGAGTTTCAGAAATTTAACCCAAAGCTCATTGTTAAACTTTAAGATGTCTTCATCCAACTAGTTCAGTTAATGGTAATGCTCGCTGATACTGTGCTAATGTTGCTTTTAGGTTTGAACTAGACTTGTCCTTTAATGACCTTAAATTTCATTTTGTTGGATAGGAGGAGAAAAGAGCCTCTCAACCCCAAAAATTAGACTGGTATGAAATAATTGACCAGAAAGTTAATAAGTACATACAACTTTAGAAGAGAAAAGTACATTTTTTTTTTGGTTGTCAAATAGGAGAAAACTTTTCGATGATTCGAAAGACGAACTTGTTGAGTTGCTATGGCACAAGTAATTGCATGATTGTTCATTGCATAACTGTGAAGTTATTTATTGACCAATCTTTTAGAAGTACATCTCCAGGAGCAGCCCAAAAATGATTCTTGTGGAAAGTAACATCTGACTGATAATAATTGAACTTATTCAAATGGATCAAGTGAATTGCATTTCTTGCTACTAAATTTTTAGTAAAACAAAGCTTGGCTAAAAAAATGTTGCATGCATTGTCACTATAAAATTTATAGTTTTATCTACTTTAGTCAATTTCTTTTTTATCTTTTGATATATCATAGATTTACTGATTAAGTACTTCAAAGACCATGGTAAACATATCTTCAAATTCGCACCTAGGCAGCAGCATGCCTTACATGAATGCCCTTCAATATGATAGAAAAAGATGGAGCTGCTTTAGAAAACTAATGAAAGGGTGAAAAGTTTTCTCATTTAGTCATGGATTGGGTAATCAAGACAATATGTGAAATAAAAGTGTGAAGTTGATTGGTCTTGGCCTATTTATGTTGCCCAAAAAACTATTCTTTGTATGTTGTCAGTTGCATATGTAACTTTATGTGTTTGATTTTTTTTTTTTGTGTCTTTTATCTCCAGTATCAGTATAACATGCATATGAGATAAAGGGAAAAGGGCTTAGTGTTTTCAAACTTGTAGCGTATTTCTTATGTACAGGCTGAATTCTGTCATAGTAGTCGCTTTTGTTGGTTTACAGATTTGATGTTCTAGATACTTTTTCTTTCTTATGATGTGTCTTATCAGATTGAGATAAAGGAGTTAGATGACTTCGCTCAAGCTGCTTTCCATGGCTACAAGACCTTGAATCGTATTCAGAGTAGAATATTCCAGACTACATATAATACAAATGAAAACATACTTGTGAGTTCCTATTGCATGCTTTGGAGAGATTATTTAAGGAAAATGTAGCTATTAGATATCAGAATGATTTTCATATATTTTCAGGTTTGTGCTCCAACAGGAGCTGGGAAAACAAATATAGCGATGATTGCCATTTTACACGAGGTATGCAGATGGTATCCATCTATGCTTCTCCCTGCAGTAGTAGAAGGCATTTTGATCAGGAGCAATCATCACATTTTCTGTTCTAGTTTTGAGTTTTTAGGCACATAAGTTTCAGCATGTTTTGTTCATGTCTTCTTCAACTATTAATAACTTTTGTCATGTCTAGCGGATTGTTTTGCATTTGTACCACAAAGCTTCTTAATCGTGCCCCTCTTCTTTTGACTTTATGATGCAGGATTTTGATATGTGCTTGCTTTTGACTTTCATGTGCTCTATCTTTTTATACTTTGAGATTTTCTGGCATAGGTTTTCTTACTGGTTTATTTGCTTGCTCTTCTTAAACTTTAATACTGATCAACAATCTCCCTTGCAGTTGTCACAGTAATTTGTTTTTAGTCTGTGGTCTGGAACTTTTCAGGCTTTGATTCCTATAATTTCATTGAACAGAAAAATGCACTTGTGAGGGTCTTGTGACAGAGTTTGGCTCTGTTTGGATAGCATTTGTTAGCAGTACTTCTAGGAAAATAATCCTGAGCTCATTTTGGGATGTATGTATGTGGATAATAGATGGTTGGGAATATTCATGGGTGATTGCAAAAAAAGTTTAGAGAATATTCCAAAAAAAAAATCCTAAATAATGGCCAATCTAAACATGGTCAGGGTGATTCTGGATCAAGACAATCTTTTGTTTTCTGGTCCAGTTAGTATTGGAATAATTCTAGGGGATATCATGTGGTCGTGAAGTCTGATTATCAATCTGAAGATATCAAGCTTTCTAATGAATTTTTTGCATCTATATGAGGATATATTCATGTGCAAAATAAAAAATTTTAGAGCCTGATGTTCATGCGGTCTCATCGTTCATCTAGGTATCTTATGCTAGTCTAATCAACTTGTTGAATGGATTTAAGAGAGATATGTGGTAGTGCATAATACAGGATTTAGATTTTGATGGTAATGCAAAATGAAGAATTTAGAGTTTGACTTGCTATTCTTGGAAGTATGATACACATAAGCTTGTAGTTTATTCTTGTTTGTTGTTTAATCAGCAGGCAAATAATTAGATTGTTCCTGCTATTAATTTGAAAGAATTCAGCTAAAAAGTTCATCAAACCGAATACCTTTTTTCCCCTACAAAGTGATGCAAAAATAATTAGGTTGAAAAGCTTCTAAAAGTTTTCACTTTACAGTAACTATGTTTAGCTGGACTTGTCTATTATTCATATATGTATTCTTGTAATGCAGATTAAACATCATTTCAGAGATGGTTACTTGCATAAAGATGAATTCAAGATAGTTTATGTTGCTCCTATGAAGGTACAGTTTGGCTGTGTTCGATCTTATTTTTTTTCCTTTTGATTTATGGCTCATTTTGTACCTTGTCCTCTCTAGGCACTAGCTGCAGAGGTTACTTCGACATTTAGCCATCGATTGTCTCCATTGAATATTATTGTGAGAGAACTTACTGGAGATATGCAACTTACAAAAAATGAACTTGAAGAAACACAGGTTGTTAGGCATACATATTGATATCTTTGATATATTTGATTTCTTGTCATCATTTGCTCCTCATAGATTTTGTATCTTCTTGTCATATATTTCTTTTGATACATGTTAATCAGATGATAGTGACAACACCTGAGAAGTGGGATGTTATTACTCGTAAAAGCAGTGATATGTCGCTGTCAATGCTTGTGAAGCTCCTTATCATTGATGAAGTGCATCTATTGAATGATGATAGAGGTCCCGTAATAGAGGCATTAGTTGCTCGGACTCTTCGACAGGTCAGGAATTTTGGTTCATCTATTATATTTGAAGAAGCAGATCAGTTGTTTTTGTCAGTGCACTGCAATATGTGAGATAATTGTGGTCAGATAGGTGTAAATTTTAAGAGGGAGTGAACCCTGTTATATGGCCTGGGACAAATAAAAATAGATTCTAGGAGAATGGCCAGAAAGGGATGATTGCATACTTATATTTTCTGGTAAATGGAAAGTCAAAAGTCATGATTTGGTGCCAAAATATCCATTTAATATAGTAAAGGGCTGGAAACGTTAAAATTTTACATATGCATGTGCATCAGTGTGTTTGTGCTGTATAGAGAGAGAGAGAGGAGGAACTTATATGTTGTTTCTTTTCTGATTGTAGTAAGAAAATAGGATATAAGATGGGCTTGGGCACCACATCTCCTGGATGGAAGTCCATCTTATGGATGGACTTTTGCAAATGGCCTTCTACAAAATAAGAAACATCTGATGGAGATGCATTTCAGAAGTGCTTTTAGATCTAAAAGCCCACTTATTCATTTAAATTATGTTTGGTGAAACTTTCAAGAACTGCATGAGAGTAATTGACAACATTGCTCTTTCTTGTAATTTGTCAACAAGCTATTACGTTAATTTTCTGTATCAGTTAATCTGTTAAACAACAATGCACTTGATATTCATATAGGTGGTGTTTTCATTTGTTGATTCCACCTAGTTTTAGAATTCGATTTTGAAAACCCAGTTTTTCTTAAAGCTCTCGTTTACTTTTTTAGATCTAGATTTTATAATTTATTCAGTTGGCAAAAGAGCTAAAATATAGAATTTACCCAAAGTAGCTTTTGCTGATCTTTATTTATCAGCTTTTTTCAGCAACCATGAATTGCCCATAAGCAATTGCAAATAATAACTGACAAATATTGTATTGTCATTCACAAATAACCTAACTGTTTTTATTGCCGTGTCTAAAAGAAAAACTTAATTTTATGCATCTAAAATGGCAGTAAAGGTTCTTTTTTCCCAGTCGATCCTGAATGTATCAGTTTACTGGATTCCGGGTTAACTTCTATCTATAGAATTAACTCACTTTTTTGTTCCTTTTTTTATTTATCATGAGATCTGATCTTTTGTAGGACAGAGGTTATATTTGATATTCGTGTTTTTAGTAAAGTAGGTCCAATCCCTAGATGGACTTCTTTTCGAAATTCATTTCCAGGATGCCATCATGGGTGATTTCCCCAAATTGGACTAACATAGCTTCCGTCTAAAATTTTCACCAAATGCTTTTTTTTTTTGTTAGAAATGGACTTCCATCTCCAGGAATTTGATTCAAATGGAATAGCAAAGTTCCTGATTATTTTCAAAGAAACTACTCCTTCGATTCCATTTTTTTTTTGCCACATTTGCTTGTTTATTTGAGTCAAAGAAATTGACCATTAAAACAAGTTGAGTTATTGAATAAGTTGCATTGTTCTCTTTTGTTTTTGCATAAATGTACATGCTGTCAAAATTTTTTATCCCAATCGTTGTGGTTGAGGAATAATGTACTGAAGTTTTTTCTTATGTCTTGTTATTCATTCTTCTTGTGAGAATTCAAAAATTAATGGAAGTCTTCTTAGAGGAAGGTGATGGATCATCTTATATTGGGGGCTTATGTTTGAAAAGGCTCAGCAAAAGTTTCAGATAATGATTTGAAGCATCCTAGTAGAAAAGATAGATTCTGGTATATGAAGTTGACAGCTACTGATAAATAGAACTTATCAGGTAGCTTATGGAGTATATGACAAGCGAGCTCATGTCATGAAGCAAACCTAATACACAAGAAGTACTGGTTCTTCAGTGCAGATTCTATCACTAGTCTAATTCGATCCACAATTTGCAACACCTGTGGCTTTCATTCAATAATTACTGATTCTTTATCTAATGTCTTATCATGGGAACAAATTATGTACTTTATTGATTAAGTACCTTCTTTTTCTTTATTCAGAGAAATAAGTGGAAACTTAGTGGCTTCATAAATTTGTATTGCTTCTCATTTTATTCTTGGGGGTGTGTAATTCTCCGGCATTCAATATTAGGAAAAATCAGATTTAAGCATACTTGCTTGAAATTTTGACAGGTAGAGTCCACACAGAGCATGATCCGCATCGTAGGCCTTTCAGCCACTTTACCAAACTATTTAGAGGTTGGTACTTGATATCTTTCATAAGCCCATAGGCAGTGTTGTATCATAATCTAAAGTTTTATGCTCTAGCTAAGGTTTAGTTTACATTTTTTTGTTCATTATATGCAAGTGTTTTTTCATTTTTATTTTTGTTTTTTATTTGTTTATTTTTTTTGGATTGTTGACATTTAGGTTGCACAATTTCTAAGGGTCAATACAGAGACAGGTCTGTTTTTCTTTGATTCTAGCTATCGACCAGTACCTCTTGCCCAGCAGTATATTGGGATCAGTGAGCATAACTTTCTGGCTCGTGTTGAATTGCTGAATGAGATATGCTATAATAAGGTTTTGTTCTTTGAACTCTTTTGTGTTCAGACATAATTTCTAATTCCCAGTCCATGAATTCCTTCCGTAAAACTGTACTTCCTGCACTAGGTTGTTGTTTCTTTAAAGCAAGGGCATCAGGCAATGGTTTTTGTCCATTCCCGGAAAGACACAGGGAAAACAGCTGAGAAACTGGTACGTTCAAATTTAAGTCTTAAAGCAGGAGTAACTTCTTTGATTTCACCTAATTTAAAGGTTTTTACCTTTCCTTTGTCTTGTCATGGTATTTGATAACAGTGAGAGGGAGTCTTTCAGGTTGTAGACCACACTAAGATACTGCATACATAAGCAGATATCTGAAGAAAGTAGCATCCTATTAAGCTTTGCATGGCTGTCTTGTCTGAAAATGCTGCAAGGTTTTCTTCTTTTGGTAGTTACCCTCAATTATTTCAAGAGATTCTCTCTTTTTCGGATGATGTTGAGAGTTCCAATGTGTAGCCTCCTTTACTATTAGTCTTGCAACCATCTAACTAAGTTGGTAGATGTACAATATTGTTAATGAAGGCTTGTATTTAGGAGATAATATTTCTGTTGAAGAGCGCTTATCAAAGAAAATGGCGGACTGATTTAAGATCACCTTGTCTTATGAAATTTCAGCTACAGGCATTTGTCTAAATATTTGGAAATGTGGGAGAAATTGTTATATGATTTTATTGCAAGGGGCTCTATTGTATATTTTTTCCCCCAGCCAACTGCAAGACTTTTTATATTGTTGCTGAGTGATCTTATTTGTTCTCTAATCCATAGGAGATATTCTACTCTATTATGCTACCTCAAATTTTTCTTGTCTGCTTCCCATTTTTTATACAAAAGGAGATCACTTAATCTTTATTTAGTTCCTGGTGCAAGTACATTTTTAGGATTGACTCCTGTAAGTAATTGAGTTTCAGCTTACTGAAGTCTATCTAAGAAACACGAGAGACTACAAGGACTTTGGTTTTATCCACAGAGATTAACTGTATCACATTGTTAACAGTTTGTTGGATGTTAATTCTGATATAGTTGTGAAGTTTGAAAATAATTTGCAAATTTTCATGAAGATACTAGCAGGAGATGCATCTTCGAAAATATGACTGATTGGGAGTTGTATCTTGTTCATTGAAGATTGAGGATGAAGTTATTTCATGAGGATTTGTTTGATTGGGAATTGTCTCTTGTTTATTTAAGATTGAGGTGGAAGTTGTTTCACGAGGGTGTGGTTGATTGGCAGTTGTGTTTTGTTTATTTACGATTGGAGATGAAGTTATTTTGTGAGGATTATATTAATTATAAGAGTGGATAACCACAATCAAGATACTTAGCTAGGCCTCTTTGAGTCGTCAGTTTTCTCAAAATTTCGAGATAGAAAATTAGGTCTTCAGATATGCTTGATAAGGCATCAGGTTTTGAGGAAATTTTTCTGAGAGCTGATTTTGTAATGCATGTACATCTCTGATATGTTGTGCAGGTTGAACTGGCCAGGAAATACGAGGACTTGGAACTTTTTAGGAATTATTCACATCCTCAATTTGAGCTTAAAAAGGCAAGAAAAAAAAATACTTTGCCAATTCTGCTGGATTATATATTGAGGTGTTCTGTAGCTCAGCTAATCTGTGTGTTACAGAGGGAAGTTCTCAAGTCCAGAAATAAGGAGGTTGTGGATCTTTTTGAAAATGGAATTGGTATTCATCATGCGGGGATGTTACGGGCTGATAGGGGACTCACCGAGCGACTTTTCTCAGAAGGACTTTTGAAGGTAAGTTGTCCACTTGTCATGTTAATCTTTCTTCCTCACTTCATCTAGCAGTGACTGAACAATGTTCTTTACTTTTCTTTTTTTTTTTCTAATGTAGCTTTCTTTACTCAGCTGTTTCAAATTTCTTCTAGGTACTTGTATGCACTGCAACACTGGCATGGGGAGTAAATCTGCCTGCTCACACAGTGGTGATTAAGGTTTGAGCACTGTTTATGTTGTTAGTACTCATAGGTGAACTGGTGTGCTGTTTTTCTAAGTTTCAAGTTGAGGTCTTTAGTGTAGAAAAGAGCTCGGGAATTTTGCCTATAAGCTGGTGGAATGGGGAGGGATGACACCGGCATATTTGTAAAAGCTGTTGTGGAGTAAACACTATCCAAAGTTTTTCTACAATATGCACAATTGTAATGTGGAGGAAGTCTCTGCAAGATCAGCTTATGCGAAGCACCTCTCCTTTTGTTTGATACATAAAATATGCAGTCCTTAGAGGATGCAGTAAATTCTAGTTTTAAGCATCTCTTTCTTTCTTGGTGTGGTACATTATTTGTACCACATCATTGTCCATTTATCATCAATGTTATTTCTATATGGCTTCTGTACAATGTAATAAAGTTGCTAAGTAGCTAGTATGTTGAGTGACTGAAACAAGGTTGAAGGCTTCCTGTCCAAGTTGTCACTATGTGGGTTATGAGCTCATATTACTTGTCATAGAGTTCTTTGAAGAGCCAAATAAAAACCTAAACTAATAGCCAAAACAACCATTAGTATATCACAATAGACAAGATTGTTATCTTTCTCTGCAAGTTCTTTGATTATAGTATTTATTATCATTGTAATGCCTTGTTACTGGGCTGGAATTGCCTAGAAAAGAAAGGCTATTCATCTTTTATCTTTCTATCCACTATTTGCTGCGACTAAACAAAGTTGAAGGGGCTTTCTAAGATTTGTCTTTTTGAACAAAAAGTTAATGACCCACCTTTGTCATCTTTATTTTGGGAAGGAAACCATGGATGTAACTAGTCTCATTGCATGAGTCGTTTGTTTCTTTAATAGGTGAAATACATGTTGATACCTAGATACATAGGGACATATATATAGATAGGTATGTCTTTACAATCCTAAACTTGTGGTCCAGATTTTTCTTCCAGTTTCTTGTGACATAGTTTAATATCTGGACCATTTTGGTGCTTCAATCTTGTGCATGTTTTTTGTCCAGGGAACTCAAATATATGATCCAAAGGCCGGTGGATGGCGAGATTTGGGCATGCTTGATGTTATGCAGGTAAGTGGACTGTTTCTCTTGTATTTTTTGTGTCTCCAAATCCATTACTCAACTGGGATTAATTTGTAACTTTCTTTGAATGAGGTGCTGTTATAGATTTTTGGACGTGCAGGGAGACCTCAGTTTGACAAAAGTGGGGAAGGAATTATAATCACCATGCATGACAAGTTAGCCTATTATTTGCGACTTCTAACCAGTCAACTACCCATAGAAAGTCAGGTGAAACTTGTCTTTTGGTTTGGAGTTTTGGCCCTTTAAATCTGTTTCTGATTTTTCTGGTGTATCCATATATGTTCGAGAGTTTGCTATCTTCATTTGTCTAAGTTGTGCTCTAGCTCTGCTCATTAAGGGCTCAGTGTGTAGGAATTTAAACCTTTTGTTGTCCAGCCTACAAATGCTAATGCTTCAGCAATCTGCCATATGTTTTTCACCATTGCATCTTTTTTAATTGTTTAGAAGGTTTTTTAATCTTGTCATATCACACATACTTGCCATGAATTTTGTCAACTAATAGTAGTAGCTTTCTACGAGGAACATGTTCTTGGAACATGAAATGAGGAAAACAGATGAGCCAATGTTCACTGAACTGATTTAACCTTTTGTCTTAAATTATGGTTGACACTCTCTTCTGGTTACAAGCAGAGCCTTTGAGATACAGTTTTCTGTTATCTTTATATCCCTTTTGTTTCAGTCTTCTGGCTCAACAAGGTTTTCATTCATCTTCTGCTTTCAGTGTTTATAACGTTTTACAAGCAATGCATTACTACATTCAAACTTGAGAATTCCTGTCCTAGCAATGAAATAGGAAACTAGATTTTTTCCATTCCAAGGCCCATCTCAAGTGGCCATAATTTTAATTGTTGATGGGGTGGGGTGAGGGAGGTTAGGGCTGAACCCACAACAATATTTTACAATTTGGAGAGCTTTTACTACTTTGGCTGCCCTCTGCCTCATCTAGCCCATGTTATTCAGATGAGTAATTAAAGTATTGGTAGACTTGAAATTATTTAGTTATCATTTGGAAAGATAGTAAATCGGTTAATTTTTAATATGATCCTAATGATTTTTGTCTTAGTATGTGTCTTATTTCCTTCAATTGGACATGTATATTGAACATATCTCTTAAATGACTGCCATTGTACCCAACACCCATTTTACATCTGTTGCAGTTCATTAAGTCCTTGAAGGATAATTTAAATGCTGAGGTGGCACTGGGCACTGTGACCAATGTGAAGGAGGCTTGTGCTTGGCTTGGATACACATATCTGTTCATTAGAATGAAAATGAATCCCCTTGCATATGGTATTGGATGGGAGGAGGTATCATATTCACCTGTCAAATTTTTATTTTTATTTTTTTTGTTTGATCTGTTCATATCTGTTCAGGAATTGCCAGGTGTGTTTCTCAGGGCAGCCATTCTGTTTAAATTTCCTTTCTTGTTCGTCTCTATTTCGCCCTCTCCGCCCTTTCCCCCTCTCCGTTGCTATTAATCTATCTCTCTATGTATGTGCACGTGGGCATACATGTTTACATGTGCGACACATTTATGTGTGTGTGTTTCCACGTGCTTTTGTGTAAACACACACATATGCGTATTGTAGGATATCTTTATATTTTTTGTTGGTGGATCTGTAATCACATTTGTTTGATATATTGCTCTAGTAAATATTTCATATCCTTGGCTATGTGATTGGCTTAATCCCTGTGGAATTCACTGGATATAAATATAGAGAGAGAGAGAGAGCTGTGAAATAATACCTTATGTTGTGGCTGTTACCCAACTTATGGCCCGAACCTCTGATATTTTTGACTGATGAAGAGATCGGATATTTTCATTATGCCCATCTATTGGTTCAAAATTTTATGTTCGTGCTTGGTGGTAATGTATTGTGATGGATAGAGTTTAAGGGGCTTCTTTTCTTTGAACACCTATTTCAGTAGGCGTGTTTGGTAAAGAAACAAGAAGAGTACTAGGTTGAAACTTCTGCCAAAGCCCAACTCTTGTCTCCCCATTTTCTCCCTCCTTTGCATTTTGCTTCTCTAGAGAGAGAGTCGTTTACTTTCTTCTATAATACTTTTCCTTCTTCCTCCTTCCTTTATTTTTGCTTGTTCTCCTATGACTTTTTCCCTCACTAAAGTGAAGATGGTAGTCAAGGGCTTTTGTTTTTGCAGGTGATTGCAGACCCTACATTGAGCATGAAGCAGAGAGCTCTTGTAGCAGATGCAGCACGAGCTCTTGATAAAGCAAAAATGATGCGTTTCGATGAGAAAAGTGGCAACATCTATTGCACAGAGCTCGGTCGTATTGCTAGCCATTTTTACATCCAGTACTCCAGTGTGGAAACTTACAATGAGTTGCTAAGACAGCACATGAATGAAAGCGAGGTGATTGAGATAGTCTGGCATGCACCCGTTCACTTCACTTTTTGTTAGCTTTTGGCATTATGCCATTTTAATGTTTGAAACATCTATCTCCCAAATGGTCTAAGCTTTATGAAGCAGATGTCATTTGGCAATTTGCTGGGACGGGTAATAGTGAATTGCTTTGTTAACAAAGAAAAAAAAATTTAACAAAATGATGAAAGACTTGAATGTTTGCTCTGAATTGTCTTGATGAAGTAGCACATGGCTTTTTGGAACTCAGAATTATAAAGGGAAAATGATTTTCAATCTTATTTTGTAGATGATCAGCTCATCTTAAAAGTCTGTCAGCTATATTACATGGAGTTGGATAAGAGTGTTGAGTGCAGTATGTCAATAAGTGTCAGATTTGTTTCTAAGGCTTGTCCTGTTTTTTAATTTGTAACTAACATGTTAAGAAAATATGGCAACAACTTAAATTATTTTGTAGTTCATGTTTGAAAGGAAATTTATGTAACTATATATGTCTGTGAGTAATATGTTAGTGTTGTATATAAAGAAGAAAGCATATAAGATTAGGAGCGGAAAAATTTCTGCAACCAGATATTTACCATCTTTTAAGGCTGAAAGTAACTAAAAATTCTTTCTGGTTTTGTAGATAATTGATATGGTTGCCCATTCTTCTGAATTTGAAAACATCGTTCTCCGTGACGAAGAACAAAATGAGTTAGAAATGTTGGCCCGCACTTCATGTCCATTAGAAATTAAGGGAGGTCCATCAAATAAACATGGAAAAGTCTCAATTCTTATTCAGGTAGATGCAGACTACTTTTGTCAACTGTGATGACTATATTTCTGCTGAGGTGATGGAACTTTCTTACTACCACTATGTGCTTATTTTGATTTGCAGCTGTACATATCTCGGGGCTCCATCGATTCATTTTCACTAGTTTCTGATGGAGCATATATAAGTGCAAGCTTGGCTCGTATCATGCGGGCTCTATTTGAGATTTGTTTACGCAGAGGGTGGTCTGAGATGTCTTCATTAATGTTAGATTATTGTAAGGCAGTGGATCGCCAAATTTGGCCCCATCAACACCCTCTTAGACAATTTGACAAGGATATCTCAGCAGAGGTTTTTTGGCACAATGTTTTTTTGGAAATGAATCATGTAGGTCGTTTACCATTGACCTGGACTAATTATCTGCCATTCAGGTTTTGAGGAAGCTCGAAGAGAAAGGGGCTGATTTAGATCGCCTACAAGAGATGCAAGAGAAAGATATTGGAGCTTTGATCCGTTATGCACCTGGTGGAAGGGTACTTTCCTTGCTATATTTTACCACCTCAATAATACCTGTAGCTGTTTGACATTGATAGTTTTTGGTATGGCTTTTTTGAGACAAAAGTTGGTCAAGCAACACTTGGGATATTTTCCTTCAGTCCTGTTGTCTGCTACAGTAAGTCCAATTACGAGAACTGTTCTCAAGGTATCTCCAATCTGACAAGATTCTTCAAACTCATTTCATTTTTGAACTACAAATTTGATATTAATGTACAAAATTGACACGTGCTGTCTTTTAGGTGGATTTGATTATAACACCAGATTTTGTGTGGAAGGATCGCTTTCATGGCACTGCCCTAAGGTGGTGGATTCTGGTTGAGGTGAACTTTTGCTACGTTCTTCTGTCTTGAACAGAAACCTAAGAAGCCTATGAGCACAAATTTATTGATCAGCTTTCTGTGGATCATTTCTTCCTTTAGCGTAGCCTTCAAGTTAAACATTTGGTTAAATAGGTGGTTTTCAAATTAGCTTTAGATAAGAAGGTTATTTTTCTGAACAAGTCACAATAATAACCAGAAAGGGACAAGGATTTCATTCCAAAAGCTGATAGAAACCCGATGAACTTTGGCCTTATAAGGACAAAAACTCCTCCAGGTTATGGTAAAAATCTCAAGTTGAAAAAAGAGCCATATGAGCCTTGTCCTCTTTACTAGTTCTCTATGACTGTATTTGCCCTTGATCCTGATTATCAGTTTACCATAATGTTCAGATGAAAGTATTTGCACGTAGATATTAGGTTGGATTCTAGAAAGGCATCCAGTATTCTGGATCTTTTTTAAAAGAAGAAAAATACTGTCTGTTTAATAATTTAAACTTGAAAAGCGATGCAAGCCCATCCATAGCTTAGTTCTGCATTTTTAAAGGATGAATGTTGACAAACAATCATGCAGTTCAGACTGGTCTTGTGGTTACCATGTGGGCTGCATGATCTTTCAGTTGCAAGTTTGTTAATTCACTAATATTTAGTGGTTGATCATCAATACATTAAGCATGAGATTATGACATGTGGAGCGACCTTTTTTAGGTTCTTTTTGGTTTGTATGAAGGGAAAGGAGCATATGTTGCTGTGAAGAGTGTGTTTTTCTTTGGTCTTCTTAGCTCAAAATTGTTTTACGTCAGTTTTGCTTGACAAAAATTCCTGGTGCTACATTTTGGTCTATTATCTTGGAGCGTTAGTCTCCTTGTAGGTATTTTATTGCCAATAGCGGCTTTTTCAAAGCCGTTTTGCATCAATTGGAGTTAGGCTATACTTGATTAAACTTTCTGCAACAGAAGAAGTGTGTGTGTGTAAAGAAGAAAGAAAAGATCACTCTAGACTTATGGGTTATACTCAAACTTCCTGATGTCTTTTCTATTGTTTTCAACGTCTACCTAGAGTCCTTATAAGTTTTACAGAACTTTGGTGCTCTCTTACTCACAGGATTCTGATAATGATCACATTTACCACTCCGAGCTATTTACATTGACAAAGCGGATGGCTAAAGCGGAACCTTATAAGCTATCTTTTACCGTGCCAATCTTTGAGCCACATCCTCCTCAGTATTACATTCGTGCAGTTTCTGACTCCTGGTTGCATGCAGAGGCATTCTACACTATATCCTTTCATAATCTTGCCTTGCCAGAGGTGGTGTTGCTAGCTTATTCCTCATATATATTTCTTGAATGCATCTAGTGTCTTTTAATTGTAGGTTCATTCATCATTTAGTTTCAAATTCTTCACAACACGATGATATTTCATTCAGGGTCGCACATCCCATACTGAACTTTTAGATTTGAAACCCCTTCCTGTGACTGCACTTGGCAATGAAACATATGAAGCTTTGTACAACTTTACACATTTCAATCCTATTCAGACACAGGTTTGTATCTTTACTTTCTCAATCAGACTTTAGTAGTAGTCATGTTAGTAATTAGCTTCAGTATTGTTAGTTTATGTTTGTTGATCTTTTGGCAGGCTTTTCATGTGCTTTATCATTCGAACAAAAATGTTCTCTTAGGAGCTCCAACTGGAAGTGGAAAAACCATATCAGCTGAACTTGCTATGCTCCATCTCTTTAACACCCAGCCTGACATGAAGGTACTCGTATTTTTTGCTGCATCTAATTTTTCTTCTGCATTGCTCTGAATGCAGAACTTCGAGCCAGTTTTAATTTGTGGAATGAGTGATGAAGAACTTTCCTTTGAGATATAGGTGGTTGTCGTATATAATTTTGAAATAATGAATAATTTGAAAGCTTAAGCTCTTTACCCCCTTATTTTGATGGTGTTCTGCAAGAACAAGTAATTGATGCTACAGAGGAGAAGAACGATATTTCATAAAAGTGCTGTTTACATCTCTCTAGCTTTAGCGTTCAAGCACTGTATATCACCTGGCCTAGTTATTTTTGAGCTTTCTTCTAATTTCCGTTTCTTAGTCAATGTATAATGATTCAATGTTTCATGTCTTAATGGGTTTAGTTACTTGGAGGATAAGATTCTAGCTTGGTTGGGAGTTGGAACATTAGTTTAGAACCAATAAAGAATGTCCGCTTTGTATTGTAGAGAATTCCTTGTTTGAACCTTCTTATTTTATATCAATGACTATGACCTAGTGCAAACCCTCATTGGATGTTGCAAACCCTCATTGGATGTTGGTTCTTAACATTGATGGCCATCCATCGAAATGAAAAAAAAATAAAGACTTTAAAATGTTGAACAACTAAAATTTGTCTTGCTGCGGAATATAATTAGTTATGTGCCTAAGTCATGATGTTAATGCAGGTCATCTACATAGCACCTCTGAAGGCTATAGTTCGGGAAAGGATGAACGATTGGAGGAAGCATCTTGTTACTCGACTTGGAAAACAGATGGTGCACATCATTGTCTCTTGCATAATCCAATTTCTGCAATTAGCTCTTTGTACTAATATGATTTTTTTCATTAGGTTGAAATGACAGGAGACTATACCCCGGACATGATGGCTCTTTTATCAGCAGATATTATTATATCTACTCCTGAAAAGTGGGATGGTATCAGTCGCAACTGGCATAGTCGAAATTATGTTAAAAAGGTGACATTTTTTTCCCCAAAAGCCCATCAATGAGTTCATTCTCTGTCTACTTAATTGATTCTGTAAACTTTAACAGAAAAGGAAAAAATGAACAAAAAACTCTCCTTTTCTTTATTTTCCCACTAACTAAATATGCTTACAAGGTAGGCATATATAGGACAACCCTATCATAGTTCTGCCACCACTTAAGGTAATAGAACCATGATTTTAGGGATTACATAATCAACTCATATCCTATCTATTCAACCTTGATTGATCATAAGCAATAAAATCCCATAATTATGGGAGGTAATTATGGAAGATAATATCTCCCATAATCATAGGAGATAATATCTTCGACACCCCCCCTCAAGTTGGTGCGTATATATTTATCATGTCCAACTTGCTTGTAAGAAGTTCAAAATTTGGTCTGAGGAGTCCTTTGGTGAGAATGTCAGCTATTTGCTGAGCTGATGGAACGAATGGCATGCAGATAATTCCTCCTTCAAGTTTCTCTTTTATGAAGTGGCGGTCAATCTCAATATGTTTGGTTCTATCATGTTGCACAGGATTCTGAGCTATGCTAATTGCCGCCTGGTTATCACAATAGAGCCTCATTGGAAGTTCAATAGGTCTTTTCAGCTCCTCTAAAACTCTCTTCAGCCATAACATCTCACACACACCATGAGCCATAGCTCGGTACTCTGCCTCTGCACTACTACGAGCTACAACACTTTGTTTCTTACTTCTCCAAGTAACCAAATTGCCCCATACAAAGGTACAATACCCCGAGGTTGATCTTCTATCAATGACTGATCCTGCCCAATCAGCATCTGTATAAGCTTCAATGGTCTTTCGATCTCCTCTTTTAAAGAACAATCCCTTTCCTGGAGTACTTTTTAAGTACCTCAGAATTCGATATACTGCATCAAGGTGCTCTTCATATGGAGAATGCATAAACTGGCTCACAACACTCACTGAAAAAGCTATATCAGGACGAGTATGTGAGCCAAGTAAATTAGCTTGCCTACTAACTTTTGGTATCGAGCAGTATCAACTGGTGTTCCATCTTTTATATCTGCTAACTTGTGATTCGGATCCATAGGAGTGTCTGCAGGTCGACATCCACTCATCCCTGTTTCCTTTAAAAGATCCAAAACATACTTGCGTTGGGACACAACAATGCCCTTCTTGGACCGAGCTACCTCCATCCCTAAGAAATATCGTAGTGTTCCCAAATCTTTGATTTCAAAGCTAGAAGCAAGACTTTTCTTCAGCCGTTCCATCTCAATTAAGTCATCTCCTGTGAGGATGATATCATCCACGTACACAATGAGTACTGCTATCTTCCCGTCCTTGGAGTGTTTAACAAACATGGTGTGATCACTCTGAGCTTGGGTATAGCCTTGATTCTTTACCGACCTAGTAAATTTTTCAAACCAGGCCCTAGGGGATTGTTTGAGACCATATAACGATTTTCTTAGCTTGCAAACTCTAGACTGAAACTTCCCTTCAAATCCAAGGGGAGACTCCATGTACACCTCTTCCTCCAGATCACCATTTAAAAATGCATTCTTGACATCAAGTTGTTGGAGCGGCCAATCAAGGTTTACTGCTATTGAGAGAAGCACCCTAACAGTGTTTAATTTTGCCACTGGAGCAAAAGTTTCAAGATAATCGATCCCGTAGGTTTGAGTGAACCCTTTAGCCACCAATCGAGCTTTGTACCGTTCCAATGTCCCATCGGAATTATACTTGATGGTAAAGACCCATTTACATCCTACTGTCCTTTTCCCTTGTGGCAGGTTTGTTACTTCCCATGTTTGATTCTTCTCAAGAGCATACATCTCTTCTTCAATAGCCTTTCTCCACTCTGGAACTTGTAATGCTTCCTGTACATTCTTTGGAATTTCCACAGAAGAAAGTTGTGAAGTAAATGTCAAGAAGGTAGGGGATAACTTTTCATAAGAGACATAGTTAGTCATAGGGTGTTTGGTACAAGAACGCACTCCCTTTCGAAGTGCAATAGGAAGATCCAAATCAGCAATCTTTGAATCAGAGGAAACTTTATCTAATGACTCAAAAACATTAAATTCTGTCCTAGGTTCGGATTCCTTGTCCATGATTGTGAACAAAGGATATGCACCCAAACACCTTTAATGAGACTTCATATGTTAATCGAGACATGGGATAAATGGTTTTGAAAAAATTCAGAGGAGTTTGGAAATTCAAGGTTCTTGAGGGCATTCTGTTTATGAGATATGTAGCAGTTAAAATTGCTTCGCCCCATAGATATTTAGGAACATTTCTTGAAAAAAGTAATGCCCTCGCCACTTCTAAAAGATGTTTATTTTTTCTTTCAGCTACCCCATTCTGTTGTGGGGTATCATTGCAGGAGCTTTGATGCACAATCCCTTTTTCAAGAAAAAAGCTTCCCAAAATTTTATTGAAATGTTCTTTTCCATTGTCACTCCGAACAATTTTGACTTTTTCTTGAAATTGTGTCAAAACCATGCTGTAGAATTTTTGAAACACACTTGCAACCTCTGATTTCTCTCTTAACAAATACACCCAACAAACTCTTGTGTGATCATCGATGAATGTAACAAACCATTTTTTTCCAGATGAAGTTGAAATTCTAGAGGGACCCCAAACATCAGTATGTAATAGAAAAAACGGTTTTGAGGGCTGATAAGGATGTATAGAAAATGTAGACCGATGATGTTTAGCCAATTCGCAGATTTCACATTGAAAAGAAGATGAATCTTTATTCTTAAACAAATCTGGAAATAAGTATTTCATGTAATAAAAACTAGGATGTCCTAGTCTAAAGTGCCATAACATAATCTCTTTATTACTAGTAATAGAGACAGACCCGTAACATGTGTTTTTTGATTGGTGTTGTCATATCTGATCCATCTTCAAGGAAGTAAAGTCCCCCATTTTCTCTAGCACATCCAATCATCCTCCCCGTTGTCAGTTCCTGAAACTCACAAAAAGAGGGGAAAAAATTAATCCGACACATGAGATCCCTAGTTAATTTACTTATGGACAGCAAATTGCATGATAACTTTGGAACATGAAGAACTCTATGAAGTGTTAGAGTAGGAGAGATGACAACGGAACCTATGCCAGCTATGACGGATAATGATCCGTCAGCAACCTTGACCCTTTTATTGCCTGCACATGGACTGTAGGTAGAAAATAATTGTGACACACTAGTCATATGGTCAGTGGCCCCAGAATCAATAACCCATATAACCCGTGGACAAGATGCATTTGATGTTTTACATGAAAGAGCAATAGTAAAAGGTTTACCATTTTTAGCAAAAGAACAGAAAGGAGTGAAGCTTTTTGGCTCAGTGGCTGAAAATTGTGGAGACTTAAAGAGTTTGTACAGTTGGCTTAATTGTTCCTTTGTGAAGGCTGGTGTCTCAAAGTCAGTTTGTTGCTTTTGAGAATCCTCATTCACAGTCTGCAACACCTTGCTATCACCTCCATTTTTCTTCTTGAAATTCGATGGTTTCCCATGTAATTTCCAGCATGTGTCCTTTGTGTGCCACGACTTTTTACAGTGTTCACACCAAGGCTTCCTTCTTTTATCCCCGTCCAAATCTGTCCCCTTAGAAACCAATGCTGAAGTCTCAACTTCATCCTCTGCCTTGGACTTTGGTGATGACTTCAGCATCACCTTACGCCTTGATTCTTCTCTTCTGACTTCAGAAAATACTTCACGAATGGAGGGGAGAGGCTTCCTGCCCAAAATACGACCTCGCACCTCATCGAGTTCTTGATTTTGTCCAGCCAAGAAGACATAGACTCTGTCGTTCTCCTCCCGTTTCTTGTATCGAACATTGTCTGCACAGCAGTCCCATTCATCCTCATAACAAAGATCCAATTCCTGCCATAAAGTTACCATCTGATTGTAATAGGTTGTAACATCTCTATCTTCTTGTCTTGATTTCCACAATTTCGTCTTGAGATTGAAAATTTGAGACGAATTCTCTATATCGGAATACATATCCCAGACAGCGTCCCACACATCCTTGGCTGTGGGCAGAAATAAGTGTGGCTTTCCTATTGCTGGTTCCATAGAGTTTATCAACCAAGCGATAACTAGAGAGTTCTCTGAATGCCATCTCTTCAAATTGGGATCTTCAGCAGCTGGTTGTTGAATTTCTCCAGTAAGGTGGCCGAGTTTACCTCTGCCATCGATAGCCAGCTTTACAGATTGAGCCCATTCCAGATAATTGGAACCATTTAATTTATGAACGGTTATTTGTAGGGAAGAAGAATTTGAAGCGGAGTAATCTGTAGTTTGGATAACTACTGAAGACGAGGATGAGTCTTCTCTTGTGTGAGCAGTCGATCCAGTCATGGCTGCTCGGTAGTTCATGGCAGGAATTGGTACAGAGCCGGAGCTCTGATACCATGTAAACTTTAACAGAAAAGGAAAAAATGAACAAAAAACTCTCCTTTTCTTTATTTTCCCACTAACTAAATATGCTTACAAGGTAGGCATATATAGGACAACCCTATCATAGTTCTGCCACCACTTAAGGTAATAGAACCATGATTTTAGGGATTACATAATCAACTCATATCCTATCTATTCAACCTTGATTGATCATAAGCAATAAAATCCCATAATTATGGGAGGTAATTATGGAAGATAATATCTCCCATAATCATAGGAGATAATATCTTCGACAGATTCATTATTACATTTTTGTGCATTTTTATATCTTTGCGCACAATTAAATTTTCAATTCACATTAGGTTGGGCTTATGATATTGGATGAGATTCATTTACTTGGAGCTGATCGTGGACCCATTCTTGAGGTATGAAACTCGTAATTGCTTAAGCCGAGTACCATGTGATTATCTTTGTCCCAAATGTACATATATGTAGTAAGGTAGGAATTGTCACCGACACTTTTGTTTGTTGGCATGTCATATTGCTTAATATGGGGACGTCCAAAATATCCTCTTGACATTTTGCACTATTTAGGGCATCAATAAAAAGGATTCAGTGTTGACAATGAACATTATATGCATACTTTATGTTAAGTTTTCAGATGTTTATTAGATGCATACGTATATATATCTAGATTTACATACATATGTGTGTTGTGTTTACTTGAAAGTAGTAGTAGCCGAGCCTTTGTTATAGTTTCCGCCTTTTCCTTTAACAGCTACACTGATAATAGGATAATGATAACAAATGGTCTTGTATAAGAAATGATCCTTTTGCCAATTCTAAGAGTTCGAAGGTATACTGGATTCATTGCTTCTCAAACTGTTTGGCTTATAATAATGACCCTTAGTATATTGCTTTGCTGAGTTCTAAGTCCTACAATTTCTTGAGTAGCTTCATTTTCCATGATTTTTTCAGGTAATTGTCTCAAGAATGAGATATATATCATCCCAAACAGAGCGAGAAGTTCGATTTGTGGGCCTATCAACTGCACTAGCAAATGCACAGTGTGTATTTTTTTCTTTGACTTGTAGTCACTCACCTCTATTCCCTTTTCTTTCTCATCTTTATGTCATTCCGGTGCCATTTTGAAGTTATTATTTAATATATATATTAAATATATTAAGCGTGTCTTTACTGTTGCTTTATAGGGTTTGCTCTGTATAATTATTTTCATTTGGCATTCTTCACCATCACCATGTGTTGTTTGATGATCAAGAAACTTTATTTCTTATTTTTGAAAAAAAATGATTGTTGTGTTGTCTTATTTGATTAGTAATTTAGCTGATTGGTTGGGCGTCGAAGAAAATGGTCTTTTCAATTTCAAGCCAAGTGTCAGGCCTGTTCCTCTTGAAGTTCATATCCAGGCAAGTTGGGAACTAGTTTTTTTATATGTTCAGTACGTTTTATATGAGCTCCAACTTTTTCTGTATATAACTAGAAAATATGCTAGAAGTTTGCTAGGGTAGCTGTTACATGTTATATCTAAAAACAGTCATCAGTAAGACTGAAATGAAGCTATGGATATGACAATATTGTAAAAATGGAAGTAAATTTTTTGTCCTTCTTGACACATGAGCAGATAAGCAGATGGATTATAACTAGAGCATTGTTATTATAGTAATTGCGTAAGTGCATCTCTAGCACAAGACCATTCTTGTGTTGAGAAATGCATATCAACATGAAATTTTGATCCGCCTTTAAAGGGTTTATTATGTTATCTGCTATTATTTATTTATTGTTTACTTTTGTTGGGTTTCACTGGAAGTGGTTAAGATCTTGGTATTTGCTACAATTTGGTAGTAAAATATGTAAATCTTGTATGCAGGGGTACCCCGGGAAGTTTTACTGCCCAAGGATGAATAGCATGAATAAACCCACATATGCTGCAATATGTACGCATTCACCTACGAAACCAGTTCTCATATTTGTATCATCTCGTCGCCAAACAAGGCTTACGGCATTAGACCTCATCCAAGTAAGAATTAACACTTCTTCAAGTAATGTTTTTCTATATGCATTTCACGTAATGTCTTTTCTGTTATTGAAGTTCGCAGCTTCAGATGAGCATCCAAGGCAGTTCTTGGCTATGCCAGAAGAATCTCTTCAGATGATCCTTTCACAGGTCACAGATCAGAACTTGAGGCACACTTTACAGTTTGGCATTGGGTTGCATCATGCAGGTCTAAATGATAAGGACAGATCTCTGGTGGAGGAACTTTTTGCAAATAACAAGATCCAGGCAATTCTCATTCTTGTGAACTTTTTTTCTAGCATGAATCAAAATTCTGTAATTGGATTAACTTTGACATTTATCCATTGACCAGACATAAATGTTCATATGCTGGCAGGTTTTAGTTTGTACTAGTACATTAGCATGGGGTGTAAATCTTCCTGCTCATTTGGTTGTTATTAAGGTGAGCTTTACTGCTGCAATTTCACTTCTCGCATTATGCTAAGTAGTGGAAGGAATTATTTTCTAACTGAAACTACATTCTTGGAGTATCTTTCATCTCTCTCTCTCTCTGAAAATGATCTTCCAAGTTTCCAGCCAGGGAATTAACTATAACCAGGAAAGTTCAGCTGATTCCTGTAATTTTAGAATTTCAGCATGACGGATCTCAAGTCCAAAATGTGCGCTTGGATTGATAGTAAACATCCATTTGAAATATTTAGAAAAATCTAATTTCTATTAAGATTTCGGGATCCCTAGAAAATAGATTGGCTTTCTGATCTACATGAAAACGATGATGATGAGAATATAAAGACCAAGGCCCATTCAAGCATATGGGGAATTAGAAGATTCAAGTGAAGACTAGTTGATTGCACGAATGCTTGAGTTTAGTAGGATTATTTGATTTTCCTCGTTGATTTTGGTTATTTCTCGCTTTAGAAAGTCTAGGTAATTAAGCTAGTTTAATTGCGGCCCATTTGTTAGCAAGTAAGGCCCAAAATCTTTCTTAAGTATGTAGGGTAGTTTGGTCAACTTTTGGATTAGGGTTAATGCTTGTAAGGGTTATAAATAGCCCCACTTCCTCTTTGTTTCAGATCAGTTTTTTGGCTATTAAATACGATTAGTGAGTTTTCAGTTTCTCTTTGGCAAGAGAGCTTCCTTTGAATACTTGAGAATCTTCTCAAGTTATTCACCCGAACTTATCAATCGAGTATCTCCTTGATTGTGGCGTTCTACTACCCCCAATTTGGTTCGTTAATTCGAGTAGTTACGGGTTGAGATAATATCAAAATTGTTCGTGACTTCTAGGGATTAGTTGGGTCAAATTTTCGCTGCCTAAGCCATGGTGATTTGGTTGTCTAGATCGGGGTTTCACATCAGATGAATTCAAAATCCTTTGAATATGCAACCCATATAATGAATCATGCAAATCCATTTCCTCTAAAATCATTTCTCAAAGCAAAATGTTCAGGAACATGGCCTGGAAATTTGACTGACTGTGGTACTGGGTAATCTGATGCTTTTTTTCCTCTCCTTTTTGTTCTTTTTCCTAGCGTGGGTCAAATATAAGTTTTCCTTTTTTGACTACCCTCTTGCTAATTACTTGGAAGTCTATCCCATACTTCCATCCATGGTATGGCTCAATTAGTGGTCCTATTAAGCCAATGCCTTCTTGATGCAGGGCACAGAATATTATGATGGAAAAGCAAAAAGATATGTTGATTTTCCCATCACGGATATTTTACAGATGATGGGTCGAGCAGGTCGACCACAATATGATCAACATGGGAAAGCTGTCATTCTTGTTCATGAACCAAAAAAGAGCTTCTACAAGAAGGTAAAAAAAATCTGAGTGTTGCATTCAAAAAATATTTTCATGCCAAACTTGTTCTGTTTCTTTAGATGATTAATAGCTTAAGTTGATCTTGCAGTTTCTATATGAACCATTTCCAGTTGAAAGCAGTCTGAGAGAGCAGTTGCATGATCACATCAATGCTGAAATAGTTGCTGGAACAATTTGTCATAAGGAGGATGCAATGCACTATCTCACCTGGACTTACTTGTTCCGAAGACTGGTATAATATGGATGATATCAGTTTATCTTGTGAATAAGTTGGTTACACTCTTGCTTCATCCTCAATTTCCCTGAATGAGATATGCTGAAAGTTACTTTTTATTTCTATGTACCAATTAGACTTCTATATAAACATGAAGTCAGGAAAACCAGAGTTAATCCCATATGGTCAAGTTGGACCTGCCGTGTCATCTTTCAAATGATGGAAGTTACTTGGAAGGAAAGAAGGGTACTAATGTTTGAAAGGAAAAAACCATTTTTGTGATATTTGAAAAGTTGTCGATGAATAGATTGATGAATAGAATGCAATAATGGGATCTAATTTGCTAAGGAAAGCATATTTTGGTGAATACGTAGATTTGCAACTTAATATTTGAGAAACAAAACTTTTAGATTTCATGTATGTAAAGGAAAATTGGAACTTTAGTTGTATAATTCTATTTATAGCTGTTTAGTTAATCTGCACAGATTTTAGAGCAAGCTTCCTACAAAATTGAAAAGATCATGTACTATGAGAATTAGTTAATTTTGCATTGTTGGCTGAAGATGCCATAGTCTTCTTGTTTAAGTCGATCTTGTTGACTGGTCAAAATCAATTTTATTATGTAATTAAGAGGTTTTCTTCATGTTTTGTTCATGAAAACATGTAGCTGCATTCACTTGCTGTTGAATCTGTAATCAGTAACTTATGCAGTTTGACACTATTGTTATTAATCGTAGCATATAAGTAGTCATGTTCTATTATTTCAGTCTATGGATTAGGTTTAGCTTTTGATAAAGTTTGTGACTAAATAGATTCTTAGAATGTTAATTTTACTATAAAATGGATTTTGCATTTTCAATAGTAAATTGTTTCCTGTATAAAAACGTTCATTCGCATCTATACCTCATCAATATTTATTTGGGAAGTGTCTAATTTTCTGGTTAGTAAAATAGATATGCTATTAGAGAAAAAAAAATAAACTTCAGAAAATGTTTAATAATCTATCGTAAAAACATTGGCAGTGTGTACCAATGTAACCTTGATCCTTCACAAAATTTTTTAATCACTCTGCGACATTGATGTAATCTCTAACTAGATAAAGGTAACCTTTTTTGGCCTCTGAATATTATCTCTGCTGAATTTGGACCTGTTTAAGCTGGATTTTCAAATAATTATCTCCTCAGTGAGTTCAAAAATCCAGGTGAACTTGTTTAAAGTTGCTTTTAGTTTTTGATAAGACACAAAAAAGTAGCATCTGTAACTAAAGAAAAATGAAAAGCATACACTTTGATAAGTTTTAAATCATGGCTATTGAAACTTTGATCGTTTCATGGTTATTCCTTTTATCCTGGGAAATATGGATGTTATGCTTCCCTTATCAGCAATATCCTAATCATTATCCAGCATGCTGGTGTCAAACTTTACTCTCATTAAGTGTAATGGTTTAGTATATATGTAGACAAAGACACATATGAGTAAGCGTGCGAGTCCATGTTGTAACATGATATAAATGTGCTATTGAGCCTTCTTTAAGGAATCTACTGAGATATTCTAAATAAGATAGTATATTTGCCTCCAAGACAACTATTCTGTTTTCTATTAGTGAAGTCGCCTTCTGTCAGATGGTGAACCCTGCTTATTACGGCCTGGATGATGTAGAACCAGGAAATGTTAGTTCTTATTTATCAAGGTAATAAGATGTCAATTTAACAGTTTTATATCAGAATATGTTGTGATAGTAATTTGACTAAAATATAACTAAGTTTGTTTTGTGTCTTTTACAGCTTAGTGCAAAGCACGTTTGAAGATTTGGAAGACAGTGGATGCATTAAGATCAATGAAGATAATGTGGAGCCAATGATGTTAGGATCAATAGCGTCCCAGTATTATCTCAGATACACAACTGTGTCGATGTTTGGTTCTAACATAGGGCCAGACACCTCCCTTGAAGTTAGTATATTTCTTGAGCTCTACTCTATGAATTCACTTTTAGCTTCTCGTATGCTTTTGCATCTTATTTCCCTCGTCAAACATTTATCATCATAGATTTGCGTATTTTCATAGGTCTTCCTCCATATATTATCTGGTGCTTCAGAGTATGATGAGCTTCCTGTGCGGCATAATGAGGTAACAGATCTAGATGATAATCTAAATTTCACATTTATGACTTTGAACTTCTTTAGATATAATCATACATTTGCACCTATAATTTCAAACTTCTATAACTGGGATTCTCCGACCTTTCTTGGAATCCATTAATGCAACAGAACAAAAAGGCCCCCCTGCCTTCTTTTTTTTTTTTTTTTAAATAATCTGGAGGTGAAAAATGGGCACCTAGAATCTCTGCTACGGGCTTTAGAGATCATGGGTTGATTCTGTGTCTGTTTCCTTTTATTATTCTGAAAACTAAGAAAAATGGAGAGAAGATACTCTTCTTCAAATATTTGGACTACACAATATACATATATATAAACACAAGTGTAACCTAATTTAGATCCTAAAATCATGCTAATCTAAATCAATCTACTACTTAATTAATACATGATATTATAATCATATGATACCTAATTAATACATGATACTATAATCATATCTCTCCTAATATTTATAATATCAAATATTTCCATAATATCAGATTACATATCTTCAACACTCCCCCTCAAGCTGGAGCATAGATGTTGCTCATGCCCAGCTTGTTACAAAGGTAATCAACTCGAACTCCATGTAGAGCTTTCGTAAAGAGATCTCCCAATTGTTCTCCAGTCCTTACAAATCCTGTGGAAATCAAGCCCTGCTGTATTTTCTCACGAACAAAATGACAATCTATTTCGATGTGTTTTGTTCGCTCATGAAATACGGGATTGGATGCAATATGAAGAGCGGCTTGGTTATCACACCACAATTTTGCAGGCATTGAGGTTTTGAGACCTATTTCAGTTAGAAGTTGATTTATCTACATGATTTTACATATCGATTGTGCCATAGCTCTATATTCTGACTCTGCACTTGATCGCGAGACAACATTCTGCTTCTTACTCTTTCATGAGACCAGGTTTCCTCCAACAAAGACACAAAATCCAGTTGTGGATCTTCGATCTACCTTGGATCCTGTCCAATCAGCATCTGAAAAACACTCAATCCTAGTATGACCATGATTTTTATACAGAATATCACGTCCAGGAGCTCCTTTTAAATAACACAAAATTTGTTCTACAGCTGCCCAATGATTAACAGTAGGATTAGACATATATTGACTAACAACACTAACTGAATACGCGATATCTGGACAAGTCACTGTAAGATAATTCAACTTTCCAACCAATCTTCTATACCTCCCAGGATCTTCTAACAATTCACCTTCTTTTGTGAGTTGCAAGTTAGGAATCATTGGGGTATTAGCTGGTTTAGCCTCCAATTTTTCCGTTTCAGATAGTAAGTCAAGAACATATTTTCTTTGGGACAGGAATATCCCCTTCCCACTCTTTGCTACATCAATACCCAAAAAATACTTTAACAGTCCCAAATCCTTTGTCTGAAATTGACTATAGAGAAAAATTTTAAGAGATGAAATACCTACAGCAGCATTCCCAGTGATAACAATATCATCCACATATACTACCAACAAAATAATACCAGCTTCAGACTGTTTGTAGAAAATAGAATGATCAGATTTGCTTTTCTGCATCCCAAACCTTTCAACTGCTAGACTAAATTTTTCAAACCAAGCACGAGGACTTTGTTTCAGTCCATACAAGGACTTCCGAAGATGACAAACCTTTCCAGACTCTCCCTGAGCAACAAACCCTGGTGGTTGCTCCATATAAACTTCCTCTTGGAGGTCTCCATGAAGAAAGGCATTCTTGATATCTAGTTGATGCAAAGGTCAATTATGAGTGGCTGTCATAGAAATGAATAACCTGACAGATGTTAACTTAGCAACAGGGGAAAAAGTGTCAAAATAATCCTCTCCATAGATTTGGGCATAGCCTTTGGCAACAAGGCGAGCTTTTAACCGAGCAACCGACCATCAGGATTGAATTTAACTGCAAAAATTCACTTACTCCCAATGGCCTTCTTCCCTGTAGATAAATTTACTTCCAGGTATTATTACCATCTAGAGCATTCATCTCTTCTATTATAGCATTGCGCCATCCGGGATGGGATAGGGTTTCACGAACAGTTTTAGGAAGGGAGATGGAATCAATAGATGTAATAAAGGAATAAGAAGAGGTGGATAAATGATTATAAGATACACACGAAGACACGGGATAAGTGCATTGACGCTTACCTTTGTGAAGAGCAATAGGAAGATCATCACTTGAGATAGGATCTTGTAACGAATGAACTGGTTCAGGGCATGCATCAGGAGACTTTTGTCGTCGAGAATATACCTGAGTAATTGGAGGTTTAGCAGGGAAGAATTTGAGGATGTCACAATATAGATTAACAAATCATCATCCTCGTCCTGACATAAATGAGATAAGGATGGGGTAAAAGGTGTATTTTCAAGAAAAGTAACATCAACTGACACAATGTACCTGTCGAGACTAGGACAATAACATCTATATCCTTTTTGGACACGGGAATAACCAAGAAAAATACATTTCAATGATTTGGGGTCCAATTTAGTGACTTGGGGACGAGAGTCACGGACAAAACATGTACACCCAAAGATTTTAGATTCAATGGGAAACAAAGGTCTATTTGGAAAAAGAGTGTTATAAGGAGTCCCACTGTTCAGAACAGATGAAGGTAGACGATTAATTAGAAATCAAGCTGTGGACACTGCATCAGCCCAAAAATGTTTAGGAACATGCATTTGAAATGATAAGACACTTGCAGTTTCGAGCAAATGTCTATTCTTTCGTTCTGCGACCCCGTTTTGGGATGGTGTATCCACACAAAAGGTTTGATGAATAATGCCATTTTGCACCATATAAGATTGAAAAGGTGCAAATAAATATTCATTGGCATTGTCACTTCGCAATATTTGTACAGAACGCTTAAATTGGGTCTTAACCTTAGCACAAAAAGCACAAAAATGAGAAAACAACTCTGACTGATTTTTCATGAAATATAACTAAGTCATACGAGAATGGTCATCGACAAAAGTAACAAAATACTTGAATCCAGTTTTAGAAATGACTGGACTAGGTCCCCAGACATCTGAATGAACTAATGCAAACGGAGCATCCGCTCGTTTATTGACCCTAGGACTCAGATTAACACGATGATGTTTGGCAAACTGACAAGACTCACAATCTAATAAAGACAAACTCTGAAATTGTGGACAAAGTATCTTTAACAACGGGAGAGAAGGATGATCCAGCCTACAATGTGCTTCAAATGGAGTTACAATTCCAGAACAAGCTATGGACTTTGGTATCTGTGTGTCAAGAATGTAAAGACCTCCAGATTCATGCCCTTTACCAATAATCTGCTTCGTCGTAAGATCTTGAATCAAGCAATAGTTAGGAAAGAATTGGGCAGAACAATTGAGGGCACGAGTAAGTTACTTACAGGAATTAGATTAAAAGACAACTCAGGCAAACTTAAGACAGATGACAATGAGATTAATGGAGTGGAGTTAACTGAGCCTGATCCAAGAACACGAGATTTTGACCCATCAGCTAAGGTAATTGTAGGTGCAGATGTGTGTGGCTGAAAGGTAGAAAATAGACTGGAATTACCTGTCATATGATCTGTGGCACCAGAATCAATTATCCATTTGGAGGACGAGGACACAAGGCATGTGTTTGGTTTACCTGACTCAGCGATGGCAGTTACGGGAGTAAATGAAGACTTTAATGATTCTTGATACTGAGAAAATTTAGCAAATTCATTTGCAGAGATCGTAATAGACTTTTCATAGTTAATAGCATCATTGGTAGAAGCAATATGTGCGGATTGAGTTCTCTGGTTCTTGTACTGCAATTTCTTACAATCAGGCTTCATATGACCCGGCTTATGACAATAGTGACACAACCACTTCTGCATTCTATCCCCGAGTGTCAATTCCTTTACCACCACCTTTGTATTGCTGTTTTTCAAGACCAACAAGAGCACTGTTGGACTGAATAGACTGGGTATTCTCTATGCGAAGCAACCTACTAAACACATCTTGCAAGGATGAGATCTCAGGACTGGAAAAAATCTGAGATTTAGCAGCTTCAAATTCAGGTGAAAGACCAGCCAAAAAACTCATAATTGCCATATGTTCCCGTTGAGTTTGTTGAACTTTCACATCAAAACTAAAGGGTAATAACAGATTAAGCTTCTCATAAGTTTTCTTAAAATCCATAAAATAAGTCATGATGGACTTATTTTGTTTCTCTGCACGATAAAAGGCTTGACACACCTCATATATGCGAGAAATATTCCCTTTACCAGAATACAAAAATTCTAAATACTCCATTAACTCCTTAACAAATTCATAGTGATTAATTAAGCTAATTACCTCACTGTCAATAGAATTCCGTATTTGCAGGAACAATCTAGCATCTTCCCTTAGCCATGTCTGTCTTGAACCATCTTTTAGAGGATCATCAGTCAGATGATTATCTTTATCAATACTTCGCAGATAAAGACGAACCGTTTTGCTCCAATCAAGATAGTTAGAATTGTTGAGTTTGTGGTCCGTGATCTTAGACATCACAGGAACCACATCAGACGTAACGACAGATTTCGTTTCTGCCATGGGTTTAGAATTAACAGAAAACAAAAAAAAAAAAAAACAAAAAAGGACAGATCTGAGCTCTTTAAAACAAGAGTGACGAATAGAGCACAGATATGTCCTATATAGAACCAGATGAACTAAATGATGACTAATGAATTTTCTGGCAGCGGACAGAGACCCTAACCTTGATGGTAGGGCTCTGATACCATGAAAACTAAGAAAAATGGAGAGAAAATACTCTTCTTCATATATTTGGACTACACAATATACATATATATACACACAAGTGTAATCTAATTTAGATTCTAAAATCATGCTAATCTAAATCAATCTATTACCTAATTATTATATGATACTATAATCATATGATACTTAATTAATATATGATACTATAATCATATCTTTCCTAATATTTACAATATCAAATCTTTCCATAATATCAAATCACATATCTTCAATATATTCTAAATGATACATTTGTCTTCCTTGGATTTTTCCTCTTGTGGGTGCTGTTTTATACCTGTAAAAAGATTTATAATTAGCTGTAACTTTCTTCTGAATTCTTATTAGGTTTTTGTTGGAATCCATTAATGCAATAGAACAAAAAGGCCCCCCCCCCCTGCCCTTTTTTTTTTTTTTTTTAATAATCTGGAGGTGGAAAAGGGGCACCTGGAATCTCTGCTACAAGCTTTAGAGATCATGGTTTGACTCTGTGTCTGTTTTATAGGTGCTGTTTTATACCTGTAAAAAGATTTATAATTAGCTGTAACTTTCTTCTGAATTCTTATTAGGTTTTTGTTGGAATCCATTAATGCAATAGAACAAAAAGGACCCCCCCTGCCTTTTGTTTTTTTAATAATCTGGAGGTGAAAAAGGGGCACCTAGAATCTCTGCTACGGCCTTTAGAGATCATGGTTTGATTCTGTGTCTGTTTTATAGGTGTTGTTTTATTCCAGTAAAAAGATTTATAATTAGCTGTAACTTTCTTCTGAATTCTTATTAGGTTACTTTCTTTTCTTAGTCTGCTTATCAAGGCAGGCTGATGAAAGTTAACGAGTGACAAACAATTCATTTTATATTCATGAAAATCAAAGAAGATTATTCTTTGTTTGACAGGTCTTGTCATTATTTAATTAGAAAACAAAATAAATCTTAAATGGGCATTTTATAACAGCAAGATTCACAACGGTTTATTTAATGGTCAGTTTTTGCTATCCATTAGAGCTTGTCCTCAGAATCGCAAGCCATAATCTTTCCAGTCAGACTTTTCTGTTTATGAACTCTTTGTTGAGTTTGTACTTCAAACATATCTTTGGTCCTGGTTTTTCTTCTTTTTTTGGTTAATCTTGTATGCATCATTTGTCATGCTACATGAGATGATATATTTACCTATCAGTTGTGAATAGCACATGCCTGCATGTCTAGTAATATGGCAGAACTAAGGAAGAGGATATTTTCAGAAATCTGGAGTGACAAGTTTTTGTTCTGAAAAGCCGATGCCCATCATATCTTTGCAATTTCTGTTGAGTGATTTTACTCTTTTAGGTGACTTACCTTTGCTCCCAGCATGAAACTTGTGATTGTGCTTTTGGGTTCGGGAAAACCTTGCTACACATTATTCAACCTATTATAACAATCAAGTGCAACTCTCTTGGTTTGATTGGATGCGCAAAACTATTTTCCTCCAAAAGGTGAGGTCTGTCAAAGATTATTCAGTTAACAAGTGTTTTAACCAAGGAAAGAACATTAAGATAGAGAAGAATATTATTGTGCTCCCATCATGAAGAAGTCGACGTTAATTTCTACAATGTATTTCGGACCACATACACGATTGTTTTGTGATTAAATGGTTAGTCTATGCCTGCATGCTGTAGTAACTAATCATACTCCTAAAGTTTGCAGTATTTCTCTCTGAAGTATCTACTTAATTTTATAGGAAAATTATAATGATGGATTGTCCCGAAGAGTACGATATATGGTGGACAAAAATCGACTTGATGATCCTCATGTGAAAGCAAATCTTCTTTTTCAGGTATTCTAGATCCTTGAGTTCCTCATTTGGAATCACTTATAAATATCTGCAGATTATGAGGTTCACTTATCTTCCTTAATATTATGTCTCTTCAGATATATTATTCTCTATAATTGTGATACAGGCACATTTTTCACAATTGGATCTACCAATCAGTGATTACATTACTGACTTAAAGTCTGTGCTTGATCAAAGTATACGCATCATCCAGGCCATGATAGACGTATGTGCTAACAGTGGATGGCTCTCGAGTGCCCTGACTTGCATGCATCTATTGCAAATGGTTATGCAGGTAAGCTCTTTTCATTAGATAGATGAAGGGCGCATTGACAAAAGCTAAAGCCATATATATTTTCCTGCTCCCATTTTATTCTAATAAGTTCTTGCAAACTGATTTCCTTAGAATTTCTATTCATCAAATCAGGTTACTAGTCCTCACATTGATTTCGCTTATAATATTTGCATTAATGTCGCCACTCGTGTTGTTTTGCCAACTTGATAGTTTATCATAAGTCATAGTTTACAAAATTTTTCTTAGGGAAAAAGATGGAACATGAGAAATGTCATACTTTAATTTGCATATACTGTGTCAATTATCCATAACAAATCCCAATATTTGGTATATTAACCATCATCTAAATTCTCGGATCAACACTTGATAGAGAGTTCTGTCAATTTGCATATCTGCAAAGGCTCTCTCTCTCTCTCTTTTGTTTTTAAATTTTTGTAGAATTTTTCATCAAGTAGAAAGAACACAGCTGTGATGTCTCAAGGTTTACACAAATAAACTTAATATACGCAATTTGATGCTATGGGCATAAGGTGTCCTGTGGTCTTTGGTACTTTGTTCCAGCTACAAAGTATTTTTATTACAAGTACCATCATTGGAAAGTATTTTAGATGAATTTGGTGGAAATTTCTATGTACCTTTTGCTATCATATGTGGTGTATGGTGGCAGCTAGAGAAAGTTCTCATGATGATAGAAGATTTAAAACCTACCAGAACTATGTTACTGTTGTTCTAGATATATACTCACAAAAGACCAGTTAGCATTGAGAATAGATATTTTGGAAGGAAAATATCTAGTTACCGTATTATGAGTGACCAACTAGTATTTATAGAAGTACAAACCTAACAAACTATTTACAAGAATACCCTTATTAATTTATTATCTACAAGAATACTTATATTCTCTTAACACTCCCCTTCAAGTTGGAGCATATATATCATAAGCACCCAACTTGTTACAAATGTATTTCACCCTAAATCCTCATAAACTCTTGGTAAACAAATCAGCCAATTGATCTACAGACGATACATGAGATGTCTTGATGACTCCATCAAGCAATTTCTCTTGAATGAAATGAGAATCAAGTTCAATATGTTTAGATGCAATATGAACAGCCGCCTGATTATCACACATTAAATTCATAGGCTGTTTATGTTCAAATCCAATTTCAAGTAGCATGCTCTTCAATCAACAAACTCACACACAGTGTGAGCCATAGCGCGGTATTCAGATTCCACACTTGATCTGGAGACAACTGTTTGCTTCTTATTCTTCCACGACACTAAATTATCACCAACAAACACACAATATCCTGTGGTCGATCTTCGATCTGAGGCATAATCAGCCCAATCTGCATCACTATATCCTTTAATAGCAGTGTGTCTATGATTTTGATACAACAACCCTTTTCTAGGAACACTCTTAAGATACCTAAGAATCCGTATAACAGCATCCCAATGACTAGTATGAGGGGTATCAAGAAATTGACTCACAACACTCACTGCAAACGAAATGTCAGGCCTCGTTACAGTGAGAATTTAATTTACCCACAAGTTTTCGATATTGTCTAGGATCATCTAGTAATGCACCTTGATCTCCTACTAATTTCACATTAGGATCCATAGGAGTATCCACAGGTCGGCAACCTAACATCCCAATTTCACTCAGCATATCGAGTACATATTTCTTTTGACATAAATAAATTTCATATTTAGACCGAACTACCTCAATACCCAGAAAATACTGTAAATGACCTAAATTCTTTGTCTGAAAGTTTGCCTGCAGATTGGATTTAAGTTTCTGGATCTCCCCAATATCATCACCTGTAATCACAATATCATCCACATAAACAACTAATAAAATTTTACCAACATTAGAATGCCGATAAAATACAGAGTGATCTACTCCATATCTTGTCAGACCGAATTCCATGACAACATTACTAAACCGGCCAAACCAAGCCCTCAAAGATTGTTTTAATTCATATAAGGATTTTTTCATATGACAAATCAACCGCGAATTCTCCCCTTGTACAACAAATCTAGGAGGTTGTTCCATATATATCTCTTCTTCCAAATCTCTATGTAGAAACGCATTTTTCACATCCAACTGATGCAATGGCCAATTATAAGTTGTGGCTAAAGAGATACGAAGACGAACAGAGATAATCTTTGCAACAGGAGAAAACGTTTGTAAGTAGTCGATTCCATACACTTGAGTAAATCCCTTAGCTACCAGACGAGCTTTCGATCTATCAATACAACCATTAGGCTGCACTTTTATAGTGTGCACTTATTTACAACCAACAACCGACTTACCAGAAGGAAGAGGGACAAGATCCCAAGTAACATTTTTCTCTAAAGCAAATATCTCTTATTGCATAGCTAATCTCCAACCACGATGATTGAGAGCATGGGTAATAGACTTAGGAATAGATACAGAATCAAGGGAAGCAACAAAAGAAGAATATGACAGAGAGAGACGAGAATAAGAAACAAAATTAAAAATAGGATGAGAAGTACAATGCCTCTTACCTTTGTGTAAAGCAATAGGAAGATCTGACTTATAGGAGGGCATCAGACCTGGATTTTAAGATTGAGAGTTAATTGGTGAAATGCGTGGCATATCAGGAGCTTTCTCAATCACGGAACGACGAGAATAAATTTGAAAATTAGAACGAGTTGTGGAATCTAGTGGACTAGATAACTCAGGTAATAAATATGAAGGGACTAATAAAACAGGAGAAGGAAAAGAGGAACACTAGTCTAACTCACAAGACATACCTTATTTCATAAAATAAGGAGTGGATTTAAAGAAAGTAACATTAACATAAGTAAAAAAACGATTTAAAACTTGATTGTAATATTTATACCCTTTTTGTGCTCGTGTATATCCTAAGAAAATACACTTAATAGCATGATGATCTAATTTATCCACCCTGGGAGCAAACTGATGAACAAAACACAAACCCAAAAATATGAGGCAATTTAAATTTAGGTTCATAAGGAAAAAGAATGGAGTGAGGTAATTGGCCTCCAAGAATATTGGATGGCATGCGATTAATTAAATAACATGCAATTAAAACTGCATCACTCCAAAATTGTTTGGGCACATTCATGTACAACAAAAGTGTTTGAGCAACTTCGATTAAATGTCCAATTTTTCTTTCAATAATTTCATTTTATTGTAGAGTGTGAGGACAAGAGGACTGATGAAGAATACCGGATTTAATCATTAAGGTATCAGAAGGAGTGAAAAAATATTCTTTCGCATTATCACTGCGAGGTATATGTATAGGCACACCAAATTGATTCTTTATTTCTGTAACAAATGCACAAAAAATGGAATATAGTTCTGAACAATCTTTCATTAAGTAAAGTCATGTAACTTTGAAAAAATCATCAACAAAGATTATAAAATATTTAAAACCTAACTTTGAAGTGATTCGACTAGAATCTCAAACATCAGAATGAACTAACAAAAAGGGTTTCGAAACCCGCTTATTGACTCTAGGAGCAAAAGAAACATGATGATGCTTTCGTAATTGACAAGACACATTCTAGTGAAGACAACTGACTAAAGGTAGGAACTAACTTCTTCAAATTTTGTATAGACGGATGACCCAAACGACAGTGAATTTCAAGAGGAGAAACAGTAGCAAGACAAGCAATCGGACCATTGGAGTTTAGAAAATAAAGACTATTATGCTCATGCCCTCCACCAATCGTCCTCTTTGTCTTCAAATCCTGAATGACAACAAAATCAGGAGAAAAAATAACTGAACACTGTAGAAATTTAGTAAGCTTACTAACGGACATTAGATTAAAAGGCAAATTGGATACGTAAAGAATAGAAGACTGGGGAAGAGATGGGTTAATTTCTACAGTGCCTAGTCCTTTAACTTTAGTTGTAGATCCATCAACTAAAGTAACATGAGGGAAGGAAGTAGATTCTTGAAAATTAGAAAAATTTGTAGAAGTACATATGATCAATAGCTCTGGAATCAATAATCCATGAGTCAAAATTAGAGGATGTGAAGAGACAAACCATAGCATTACCTTTTTATGCTAAAGAAGCAGAGGGAAGAGATGCGTGATTTGCAGTTTGGTACTGCAGAAATTTGACATAATCTTCCTCGAATATGGTAAGTCTTCTGGGATCGTTGTGCTGAAGAACTTGATTCAGTTTAATCAGTGGTAACCGTATTAGCAAATCGAGGTTTTTCAACTAAATCCCAACAACTATCATGAGTGATTTTTCAAACCACAATGAGTGCACTCACGGGTACCTCAACCTCCACGACCTCCATGATTTCCTCTACTTCTTCCTCCACGAGAGCCACGTCCAAAATTAAGTTGCTCTATCCGATTGTTGTTAGCAATTAAAGCAGATTTGTCATTGATTGAGCACCATCACCCTGTGCATTATCCTTAGATGCAGAACGTAAGATCCGAACATACACCTCTGCAAAGGATGGTAATTGTTTACCTGCTAAAATTTGAGATTTGATTGGTTCAAATTTTGGCTTGAGGCCAGCCAAGAATATGAGCATAAGCATTTGTTCCTTTTGCCTCTGCATAACTGTAATATCACTTGAGAGAGGCATTATAGCATTTAATTCTTCTGAAACTCGCTTAAGATCGGCAAAGTATTCAGTTACTGTCTTGTTATATTAGTGCAACTGAAAATACTCCAAAGAAATATCATACATCCGTAAAAGATTACTGCAGTATAATAACCAGACATAATCCCAAACTTCTTTTGTTGTCTCACAATGAGAACACATGTAAGCAATTTGGAATGCAATTTATGGCTCTATAGAATTTCAAATTGCTCCAAGAATTTGGGCATCCTCTTGAATTCACATTAGTCTCTTGTTGTCCTCCATAGGAGAGTCATCTGTGAGATATCGTTGCTTTTCTAAGCCTGTCAGATAAATTTTAACGATTTTTTACCAGTGTTGATAATTAGTGTCATTCAACTTCCAATTTGTGATTTGAGGCATCACCACTGGCATAATATTAGTGGACGTCACGATACCTTTTGATAAACTTTCAGTCATAGCGAATAGCGCTTCAAACCAAAAAAGGGTCAAAACTCGAGATGAACAGTATGCGTGAACAGTACTGCGTGAACAGTGCTCGATGAACAGTGTCACGTGAACAAGACTTTTGCTAGATGTTTAACTCTAATCCTAGGACTTTAGCTTTGATACCATGAGAATAGATATTTTGGGAGGAAAACATCTAGTCACCATATTATGAGTGACCAACTAGTATTTATAAGAGTACAAACCTAACAAACTATTTACAAGAATATCCTTACTAATTTATTATCTACAAAAATACTTATATTCTCTTACCATGCATATCTGTAGTACTTATTATAACCTTTAAGCACAAATATTAGAGATAATCTAATCATCATTTGTTGAATTCTCCACAACTAACTGCCTAGTATGGTTCTTGAATCTCCCATGGTCACTGCTTGGTGTACTGCCTAATTTAGTGATCGGATAGTTTTTTCTCAATTTGTTGATAGGCTGAAACTAAGGAGGTGAATTGTACATTGATGACTCCCTTGTAGAAGTTGCTGGCATCAAATCATTATACGCCTCACTTTCCACATGAAAAGGCGTCCTATTTTTTTTTTCCCTCTAAGCAGACGAGTAATGCTTTTTCTGTGCTTTGCTTCTTCAAGAATTATTTGTCAAATAAATTCTCTGATGTACATTAATGTTTGCCGAGCATGTTTTCTACATTGATGATGCCTTTAGCAACTTTGTTTTGCATTATGCAACAAATGGTGCTCGCATAAATTGTCTGACAAACTGTGTGGCACCAGCTGGTTCTGTTCTTCACTTTAAGCACAAATGCTGGCTGCATGAGTGTGCCCATTATCAACAGCATGGATATTATTTGTCATCATCACAAGCTGTTAGACTTACTGTATAAACCCTTTACATTTTCCAGAACCACTGAACAAAAACAAAGCCAGCAGGGATCAATGTCTTGTATCACCAGTTGTTGATGTCTTAGCAAAAAACTTGAATAGTTTCTCATTTGTTTGCAGGGTTTATGGTATGATAAAGATTCTTCTTTGTGGATGTTGCCATGCATGACTGATGATCTGATTAGTTCATTGAGCCGAAGAGGCATTGCAAAGATTCAGCAATTGTTGGACACTCCCTCCACAGTTCTACAGGCTATTGCTGACAATGCTACGGCCTCAAGACTACATCAGGTGATTCCTATTCTCCTCTCATTAGATTGATTAAGCATTTACAATTTGTCAAAAAAAAAGATAGTTTTTCATGGGCGAAAATGTTGTTTTTGTTGAAGAACTCTGTCATGCTGAAGTTATGATGAAGTTTCAGAATATGTACCTAACAGGGTACATCGTGAATGGATGTGTGAGTAGATGAAAGTTTGATGCATCTTTTTGTGCTGTTGGTTTATATGGCCTTGTTTTAAGCTGAAGTGGATGAGCGAATGGATGTTCCATCTGTATTTTGTAGTAAGAGTATGTTAAATATTTCCCAAGTTGCCCCATTTAACTTGAGGGTAGAGTTAGCTTTTGTCACTACTGTTCACAAAGTGGCTATCTGAATGTTAAAATACAGATGCATCCCGAGTCATAAGATCAGTATGCACCATGTTATTATAGTGAGGGGCCTAGCTGTATTTTAAACTTGGTGCCATATCTCTCTTCCCATCCCATGGCATTAATGTTATCTTTTTCCTCGTGTATTTCCATGTGCTGAACATGAGCCCAAATATTTGTTTGGTAGATACTACATTTGTCTATTCCAGTCAAGTCATCTTCCTCCACTTGACACTAACCAGTTCTGAAATCTGTTAATTATGGAGGCTTCTTTGTAATAGTAACAGCCATTTGAGTCATGTAATCTACTTTGCATCAGTGGTGGATTTGTTTGTTGAACACTCAATCATAATTAATAAGCATACCTTCCTTTTGGCCCTAAGTTTTTGTGCATGTGCTTAAATTGAATTCATATAATTTTTACAGGATCTACAGCATTTGCCTCGTATTCGAGTGTATTTGAAAGTTGAGAGAAGGAATTCTGATAGCAATTCATCTGAGATTTCCAATGGTTTTAATCTGAACATCAGAGTGGAAAAAACAAATACCCATCATAGAACATCAAGGGCTTTTACTCCTCGGTTTCCCAAGGTACCAGCTTACATTGTTTGATGGTGGATGATCTATAGTGCAACAAGTTTTGACAGTCATTCTTACAGGTAAAAAATGAAGCATGGTGGCTGGTTCTTGGTGACACTTCTACCTCTGAATTATATGCTTTGAAGAGGGTGTCTTTCTCAGATCGCTTGGTGACACGCATGGAGATACCATCAACTCAAGTCAACTTGCAGGTTTGCACATATTCTTAACTGAAAATGCTTTCTGTCTGTCCCTTGGCAAGTGCTGCTTATTCAGTTACTTCTGAAGATCTGGTGAATGGTGGTGAAGTTTGAGAGTTTACTGTCATTATTTGCAACCTATGAGCACAGTAAAAAGAACATATGATCAGTAAACAAAGGAATATTCTGATATCTTGGCTTATTGATTTTACCATTCCTGTGTTACATGAAAAGGTCATGCTTCATGTTTAGGCCATTTTACTCGTGATGTCTTCTATTCCATCTGGAATCTCCTTCTGCATTATTTTAATATGGAGTGGCTTCATTTTTTTCAGGAGATGAGGCTGATTCTGGTTTCAGATTGTTATTTGGGGTATGAACAAGAGTATCCCATTGAATAAATTGCTTAATCGTCTAAGATGAATCTGATTTGACTCTTGGGAGCGGTTGATTCTCTGCTGTATATGTGTACACACAAATGTCTCCTTGAAAAGTCCGTTTAACTGTTCTGATAATGTTTGAAGATCAGGGCAACTGTGTGATGAACATCTTTTCATCCTATTTTGCCTCTTTCCCGTCCTTTTTTTGTCCACCTCATTGCTGGTTTCAGCCAATCCTTTTTGGGCCATTTGTTGTTATTATGGTACAGGGCTTCTCATCTCATCCTATTTTAACCTCTGGCCCCCCATTTTTGTCCACCTCAGTGTCAGTTTTAGTTAACCTCGTAGGAATGTGTTAGGACTGGGGTGAATTGCTGTTTACTATTGTATAAGGCTTTTTGTTGAAAAATTGGTTCATTAAAAGTTGTAATTATTTAGCAATGCAGCACGAAAAATTTTACCCTTCCACTTGTATGGCAATTGGCATCGGCAACTGGAATAGGACTGTCCACTTGTATGGCTTTTGCAATCGTCAAATGGAACTGTTCAAAGAAACCTTAAAGCCTCATTTGGAAAGGAATTTTCTACCAAAAAATTTTTATATTTTTTGTGAATATATTTTTTAATCATTTTTTTACATTACATATTAAATTACTACAGTATATTTTCTATAAAAATTTCAAAAAAATTACAATCCAAACATAACCTAATTTGTGGAAGTCATAGCTGATCACTACCCAGAGGGAATTGTCCAAGGAATCCCCAATTGTAGTAAAGTCATCACTACTCTATCCCCTTGGTTCTTCCCCACCAGGCCGCCACAACCACTCACATTTTTTTTTTTAAAAAAAAAAGAAGCCCTGATTTATCACCAAATTGGGATGGTGAGGTTAGGTGTAAACTAAGGAGAATAACGTTGAACAAGCAGCTGGGAAAACTGGCCAATCTTTTTCTTGGATAGTAACAAGTAAAAAGATAAATAAATGGTAATTGCAACTACAGGCAATGCTCAAATTGTTAGTGAAGTTCTAAGAGGTGATTAACAAATTTTACATGGCAAGGTCACTTTATTTATGACTTAAGACGTGACAAGAAAAACATTAAACATTACATTATTCAATAAGAAGCGATACTTCTGTGGATTTCCTACAATTCTTAGCAGCAGCAGTAGGGTAGTCGTTAGCCAGCATCTATTTACAAGGACTATCCAAAGCCATTGTCATTTACAAGTTAACAAGTTACCTAATCCCATTCTGAGTCAAAAAATCCCGCGTCTTTCATCTCTGAATAATATGCATTATCTAGAAGCCAATCTTCTTCCTGTGAATAGCATTAATAGAGGGATATTAAATATGACTGAGCCTCGCACAACGTCTAAAGCAACTCCACCAAATAGAGAGCGCACAATATTACCTCGAAAAAGTCGGCCAGGAAAGTAACATACAGAAAAGGAAGATAAAGCGAGTGATAGCATACGACAGAAAAATTGTACAGCCTGTAAATAAAAGGGAAGGTTTTGTAAAACATTAAATTTCAGTGAGCTATGTCAAATTGGAATACAAAATTTTCTACTCGATTCCGAAATGATACTTTACCAAAGTCCAAAGCCAGCACCAATACCAGCAAATCCGCATGCACATAATGCTATTGCATTAAAGATGAACAACATAATAACATAATTATAGAATGCCGGTTTTGCTGCAAGATTTGCAAGAAAAAGAGGGTATAGATTATGTTAGCCAAAATGAATCACAAAAAAAAAGAGAAGAAGAAACAGTGCCAAACACTAGAAGAATTAGACTTACGTGGCAGCTTATCTCTCCACTTTGAATAATGCACAAACAATATATAAGCATAAACAGCTGAAAGCACTAGTCTGTAGGTGAACCAGATGAACCATTTTCCTCTATGTGTAATTTCTACATCAATGAATAGTGGAACCCCAAGTCCAAATATACATATTACCTGCCAGGAAAGGAAAAAATTTAATGGAATGGTAGTGACAAATCTCTTCTTTCTTATTTTTTCCTCATTTCTAATTTGTTAATCTGGAAGCTACATGCACGGGTTCAGATACTCAAGTACAACAGTGCAATAGTAAACCCTTGAAGGAGGAAGAGGGTAAGACGATATCAGGATGGATTTAGTGATGATAGTAGAATTTGAAACCTTTGCAAGAAGGAAGAGGTAAGCAGAATGAGGATAGAGACCCATTATGTGGCATAACAAGTCTAGTTTTAGCTTAGAAGACCTATTATATGGCATAAGCAGACAAATGAAACATAGAAGCTGTATACACCATATGAAAAAAGATAACTATGCATTAATCCATCTTCCAAGCCCCTAGCTCCTAATTGCAATGTCAATAAAAAGAATGGCAAAAAAAAAAAAGGCTTCCGAGACATCCCAGCTGAAACCAATGTGGCAAAAGGAGTAATCGTATCTAAATAGATGATTTAAAAAAGGGGCATGCTTACATTGTTATGTTTAATTTACTAGAGTGCAGAATATAAAATCGCTCCTACGAGATTCGAAATCCTCATCTGCAAACAAGTATTACTGGATATATTGGACAAAGCAAGGGATTATGAGTCTTTAGAAATGGAAATCCATCATAGGGTACATAATGTCGGGTCACAAAAGATTGAGGGAATTCAGACCAAAATTATTTGCCTTCATTTTTTTTGCACCAAAGTGCTCAATATTTTTTGTTTATTCCCCATTTTCCTTTATTTGGTGAAACTAAAGCTGTATCCAAGGGGCAGAGGAAAATCCATTTTAACAAGTGACCTGACATTGCAATTCCACATCAATACCAGGTTCATGAAACCTTCACTCACCGGCTTACAGCCTTGCCGACTCCCGACAAAGTGGGTCAAAGTGGATCAAACGCACAATTTTGTAAATCCTGACAAAAGTTGTTAATGTTGTGTCTTGTCCTCTCCCTTCCATTTTTCCCCATCTGTACTTTGTCTGCCTTCCTTAGTTGTGTGTACTGATATATTATATACTTCCAATTTGGATCTTTCTCCTTGACCATAGAGCTCTATAAAAGTGCAAGAGACAGATATGCACCCATATATCTTGGTAAATATGTGAACATATCTAATTATAAGCTTTTATTAAACTACTTATTGATTGTCGTTATTTTTGAGTGAATTTTGGAGAAGCAGGTATCCTTAATGGGAAAATGGAGGACATCAGAAATTTCTCTTGGAGGATATCAGAAGTTTCATAAGCCTGACAAAGATAAAAGGGGAAAAATATTTCTTTTGGGGGGAGGAGAGTGAAGCTAGACAATGAATGCCTGAGTAAGATGAAAAGAATCACTAATTAGCAGTCACACTGAAGAAAATGAATGGGAATTCCTTTATGAAGTATATAGTGAAAGGAGTTGTTTGATGAGAAACAAATAAGTGTTACCTTGACAAAAGCATCTACACCAACAATGGCACCCGAAACCATGAAAGTATGTGCTAGAGTCTCCAAGCCACTAACATAATTGTCTTGAAGCAAAAAAGCCACTATGCTAATTTCCAGACACAGCAATAGAGAAGCTGTGGATAATGACAATAGGTTCCATGCAACATCTTTCTCAGGAACACACTGCCATACCTGTTATTTCATAATCATTTAACTCAACATTTGAATACATAACTTATAAAACAGACAAAATTTTCTCCCATAATAACACATTAAGAGAGAAGATCTCAAAACCAATTACTTTGAAATGATCAAGTCACCCGCCAACCATGCAGGTAAGAAAAACTCATATTAAAGGCATAAGTTACACCAGCGACTTTTATTAGGCTGCAATAGAGTTTAACCATTTGAAATAAATTTTGCACAAAATAGTCATATATCCATCTACATTCACCTCAGGAGAACTAAAGACAGAGCTTTAAACCAAAAGGCACAGAGAAACAATACTAAACTTATTTGCAGACCGTACACTCAGTTTATGGCTCTACAGACTTACTTTTCTGTACACATGAGCAAGCAACCATTTTCACAAAACCAACAAAAAATTTCAACTTAATTTAATGCATAAAAGTTTGTATAGTTCATCGTGTAGGCCAAGTTTATTAATTAAATCAAAAAGTTAATCCCCAGATAAGTGTCATGTCACTAAATATACTATCTTTATCAGGTACATCAAGACGAACTGGCAGACTCCGACTCTAAAACATGCAAAATGATTTTTTTTCCCTTTATTTGTCTTTAGCAGTTCCACACTCTTAACATCATTAAAATCCTCATAGACAGAAAAAAAAAAAAAAAAAAACCTTCACAGACAGACAGATAATTATTGAACTCACCCGTTTCCATTTTCTCATTAACACAACACAAAATGGTGACCAGAAAAACAAATTTATCAACTATGCAAATTAGCAGACCGGCAAGGATGCCAATTTCACTGTCATCACCAAATTGACCAGCACAAGTTCTAAACTTTTTCCAATAACTATCAAGAAAAAACATTAAAGAAAACGAAAAAGGCAACCTGAAAAGAGGACCAAGTGAGATTAAGAACAGCAGCGGACCATAGGAGAACATAATACACAATCATGACGTAAGACCTGCCATGTCCAAGCTTCTTGATATTCCGCTTCGCCTGAAACCCTAGGTACGCTATAAACAACGCCGACGGCACTACAAGAGCCGCGTTATGCCAGAATCCATGGCAAGAGGAGGGAGAGGAGGGAGAGAAGAACAAGCCGTGATACCCCCGGAAGATTATATATTGATGATCCCCTTCGCCGGCGTCAGCTCCTCCTACCGGAGCGATCGAGGAGATTCCCCTCAATTTTGACATTGATCATCACCGGAAATTAGCGAAATTTCAACAACTAATCAATTAAAGAGCCCTAATCTATATATAAAAATGATATTACAAATACTGATTTTTCTCAGCCAAAATAAAAAAAAAATGACGGGGAATTAAGTGGGAGCTTTACTGGGTGGGTTGGGTAATGGAACATGATGAAAGGAGAGAGTTGAGGAAGTGGTTAACTACTCAGCTTCTTCTGCACCTTGCAAGACTTTTAAAAATTGGAAATATTTATAGGGTTTATTTGCTTTGTTAATGTTTTTTTTTCCCCTGAAAAGTTTAAAGTTTTATATTCAAATGTAAAGTTTTAAAGTTGTATCTCTTAATTTTTTTTAATTGATGGATATAGTTCTTTAATAAAAATCTAAAAGTTGATAACAAGATCGAAAAATATTTTAACAATTGTTGTGTCATTGGTTCGAATAAGAAATGTTAAGATGATAATGAGATCAAAAAACTCTTTAATATTAGTGTGTCAATGGTTCGTATAAAAAATGTTGAACTAGTTAAAATATGATTGAGATTATATTTACTCTCCAAAAGTGAATTATTTAATATTATATTTTAAAATGGGTTGCAAATTATACAAAAAAATCATGAGATTTTTTAAAATTCGATAGTACCAAGTGAAATTGTCAAAAGAAGAGGTTTCTAAAATTATCGATACTTTAATCATGGGAAGGTTTCTGAAATTATACATTATTTATTTACCACCTCTAAATTGAATAAGAAGTAAACGAAAATGTGTGCTTTTTAGATATGGTAATCTGTCTCAAGTTCCAATGGACTACCAATATTCCAGTGGACTACCCATACTCCAGGGATATGGGGCACTATAGGTTTACTAATTTTAAGGTTGGGCCTAATATGAGACTAATCCCATCTACGCCCAGCAACAATGGGAATTTTTGAGACATACTTGGATACTCATTGGGACCTAAATATCTCATCAAAAATTTAATTTTTGTGCAAAAAAACTCCTATCCAACCAATTTATAGGCCAAAAGTACACCACCAAAGATACTTCAATTAGTTTTTTTTTTCAAATCATTCCAACTTAAATATCTATCCCAAGTTCCAATGGGCTATCCATACCCAATAGAATTATAGGCTGTATGGATTTACTAATTTTAAGGTTGGGTCTTATATGGGACTGATTCCATTTACACCCATCAATTAATGGGAATTTTTGAGAAATATTTGAGTTCCCATTGAGACCTAAATACCTCACCAAAAATTTAATTTTTGTCCAAAAAAAACTCCCGTCCAACCAATCTATAAGCCAAAGGTATGCCTCCAAAGATACTTCAATTAGTTTTTTTTTTTTTTCAAATCATTCCAACTTAAGTATATGCATGAGTTTGCTGCTCTATTCTTATATGAAGAATTTTTTTTTCTACATTAAGGTCGATTTGGTTTTATAGTCTGGTACTAAAGGATGCAATTATCCTATAAGATGGTATCTCTGAGATAAACAACTATGTCAAAAAGATACTTCAATTAGTAGTTTTTTTTCCAATCATTCCAATTTAAGTACATGTGCATGATTTTGCTATTCTATTCTTATATAAAGAATTTGAGTTGCTATTGGAGTAATACCATTTGCCAATTCTTTCAATACTCATTAGCCATTCATGTGACGCCCCGAAAAAAAAAAGAGTTTGAGAACCCGGAAATTTTCTAATTTTCTAGGGTTTATTTTTTTTAACGCCCGCCTTTTCTACATTTTCTTGATTAGAAAAATTTCCCAGATAAAGTTTATGAGCAAAAATAGTTTTAAAATGATTTTTCTAATATCGGTTAGTTTTTGAGAAGTAAAGAGCGTATATCGGACGTGGGACCCGCTAGTGCGAAAAGTTCGGAAAAATTCGGCCAGTTAGGTTAAGTTTTGGATACTGGGTTTAATTTACCGGATGTTAAGAGATAATTAGAGGTTGCTTAGATGGTTAATGATGGAGAGACAAAAGGATAAGTGTTACAATTAAAAGGTGCTAGGTGTCGCGACCCGATTGGAGTTGGACTTTGACTTAACTTTTTTACCTTTACTAAATACCAAAATTTGACCAAAAATATCCCATTTCTTCTTCCTTCTTGGCTGAACACTTGAAAGAAAGAAAGAGAGGAAAAGTTTCATCTTCAACTTCAAATCCAAACCAAATCTTAAGTTCCAACCATTGGAAACTCAAATTACTCCATACAAAGTGCTAGTTAAGGAAGATTAGGAACTTGAATGGAAGGATTTTTGGAGGACAAAGCCTAAGCTCCTACCTTTCTTGTGGTTTTAAGGTATTTTGCCAAGAACATCCTCTTTATTTCAATTAATTGCTTATTAGTGGTTTTTAGTTGTTTTAGATGTTGTTTTGTGGAAGATTAGCACTTGAATGCATGAATTCCAGATTAGGCTTTCACTAACCCCTATTCTGCCCATTTCTGTTTGACCAGGTTAGAGGCCGAATTGGCCTTAGCACAAAACATGAAAATTGTAGAGAATGGTGTTTTCTAGTTACCTGTAAATTTTCAGCTCAATCTGAGCTCGGTAGCCTGTGAAAAGACTGAAATACCCCTGCTATCCTGTTTCTATCCGAGAATAGTAATCAGCTTTGGTAATTGGGTAGTTTGACTGGGAATACTACCGATTTGGTTGTTGATGTCTTCTTAGGAATTATACCCTTGTATCTTAGCATTCTAATAGCTTTGGAATTACCTGAATTGGAGTTGTGTGTACTGAGATATGAGTGAATAAAGCAGGACTGCTAGTTGATTTCTGCAGTGAATTTCGAACTGGAAAATCTGGAGTTGTTTTGGAACATTTGACCTAGTTAGGGTGAGAACTGGACTGAGTGGTCTTCATGAAAGTTGTAGGGAATGATATTTTAGAGGCGGCTACAAAATTTCAGGTCAATCGGAGTAGTGTAGAATGAGAAAAGTCGAAATTACTATTGCTGTTCTGGTTTTACCCGAAATGGAGAATTGCGCCTGTAATTGGTTGTTTTGGCTGGAATTGCTTCCGAATTGGTTGTTGGGGTCTTCTGATGAAATTTAGCCCTATTTCTTAGCTATCATCTGGTTTTGGAATTTCTGGATTTGGACTTGTAGAGCCTGAGTTATGATGTTTCCGCTAGAATGCGTTTTGGTGAATCTGTTTTACATTTTTGATGTGGTATCTTGCATTTTTGACCTGTTTGCACCCAAAACTGGGTTGAGTGACCTTCTGTAATATTGTAACCCTATCTCTTAGCTTCGAAACGGTGTATCTTGCACCTTCATCCGACAATCATAGCGCCTTTTGAACCATTACCGCAAAATGACGTCAAAACCTGTTTTTCTGGTTTTGAGCTTAACTTTCATTTCCGGACTTTTCCTAGCTTGACTTGTCTTTGTACTACTTGGACCTTGCTGAATGGCTATTGGATGAACTTGTTGTTGTGTGTGTACCTTTGGGACTGGCTGAGGAAATAATGAAGCTATGATGGCTGGAAAAGTAAGCAAATTTGGGGGAAGTGCTGTCCGAAGTTTTAAAGGGTTTGATTGCATTGAGTTTGTGATCTAAGACTGGGATTTGAGCAAGGCAATGTTATATGATTAGGGCTGCAAACGAATCGAGCCGCTCGCGAGCGGATATGATTAGGGCTGCAAACGAATCGAGCCGCTCGCGAGCCGCTCGCGAGCGGCTCGAGTCAAGCTCGAGTCGAGCTCGAGATTAATCGAGCTCGAGTCGAGCTCGAGCCAGCTCGAGTCAACCTCGAGCTCGAACTCGAGCTCAGATTATTAAGCTCGTTAGCTCGCGAGCCGGCTCGCGAGCTTGAGTATATATATTTATATATATTTTTTATTTTTATTTAATAATAAAATTACGTATATTATATATAAATATATTTTAATTTTTTATTTTCATAGCGAAATTACGTATATATCCTTAATATTTTATTATTTATTCAGAAAAAAATATTATTTTTTTTATTTTTTTAAAAATAAAATAATTTTTTTTTATTTTTTTCGAGCTCGAGCTCGAGCTCGAGCTCGAAAATTGCCAGCTCGTCGAGCTCGAGCTCGAGCTCGAGCTTGGTAAAATTTAGTCGAGGCTCGGCTCGATTAGGTCAAAGCTCGACTCGGCTCGGCTCGTTTGCAACCCTATATATGATGGATGATTTCTGAGTCATGGAGGTGAGTGACCCTAAACTGTTTCCAAAGTTACTTATGAACCGTTTATTGCATTATTTACTTGATTGCATATCATGAGTGCTTGCATGTGGCCCATGACATGTTTTGGCTTAAATGAGTACTTGGAATTCGTGTGCTGAACACCAACGTCTCCACCTCTGTGTACTGTTCATCTGGAGCAAATGGCTCCCCCTCTGACTGTTTACTGTTAAATGTTTGTTTGGAGCGGTGGGTGTTTAAGTACAACGATTTCACTGGCTCACGAGAGCAATAAATGTACATTTGATCTTGGAATCATGGCATCACTGAAATGAACGATTGTGAAACTGATTTGTTTACTGGTTTTATTGGTTACTCGCTGAGCTTTTAGCTCACCCCAAAATGTTTTATTCCCCTCCACAGGGCTCAAGGCGAAGGAAGGACTTGTAGTACTTATTCACGTGACTGGATGGCATATATCTTGTACAGTTTGGATTTGGAATCATTTGATGTATAGTTTGGGGAATCGTTTCCACTTCGCTTAACATGTAATTATTGGATAATTTGATGTAATTTTTGAGATTTATATTGTAATCTGTTTGAGGAATGTAGTGAATGACTGAGTCCCGGCGAGAGCTGGGCAAGCGGCCCGCCGAACCCTCTGGTTCGCCTTTGGGTGAGGTGGGGCCGTCACAGTTGGTATCAGAGCTTAGGCTTCAGATCTCTGTAGTGTATCTTAGGCTTGAAATTTAGGATGCCGGACTGTGGGTTTGATTTGACTCTTGAGAGATTTGTGCGGGATGTCTTGACTTGATTGGTACAAGATGGAATGTCGAGGACGACATTCTTTTAAGGAGGGGAGATTGTGACGCCCCGAAAAAAAAAGAGTTTGAGAACCCGGAAATTTTCTAATTTTCTAGGGTTTATTTTTTTTAACGCCCGCCTTTTCTACATTTTCTTGATTAGAAAAATTCCCCAGATAAAGTTTATGAGCAAAAATAGTTTTAAAATGATTTTTCTAATATCGGTTAGTTTTTGAGAAGTAAAGAGCGTATATCGGA